GGAAGTCAACGTTATAATGGGTTTATCAATCGTCTGCCTAAGTTATACACAGGGTTTGTACGCGTCCTTAAATTCCTTGAATGTCCTGGAAAAACAAATGAGCATTTTCCAGTACTGGAAAGTCCTGGAAATTTAATATTGTCCTTGAATGTCCTGGAAATTTGATTATTAACCATTAATTGCAGTACTACAAGTTGCCTAGTAACAGTAAATTGAATGAGAAACGTTCCCACAAATATCTTGAGAGAATCAGGTCAAGTCTTTGTATGCAGCCAATTCAGGAATGTTATCAAGACAGAAAGAATGTCATTGCTGAAAATGGCCGATTAGCTGGTTCAGACAAACTTGTGCGATTCAGCGAATGGAGTTGTTCGCCTATGTTTTAGTGAAGGCGGTGCTTTTTTTAAAAATCTTGTATATTAATAATATCTGCATTTAATTTTAATTCAGACATTGATAATCATAATCGTTGACTTTGCTATGGTGTTATTTGCTTTCTGTCGTGTGTTATAAACAGTACTGAAATATTAAAGCGAATTCACCGGGCTAATCACGTGCGACAAGACCTGTTCAACTTTCAATCAGTTGAACAGGTCTTGTCGCATGTGCTGAGCTCGCTCGGTGAATTCGCTTTGAGTAACTCATCACTCTTCAGACGCGCCCACATGTTCAGCACGAATGGGCATGTTTTGGCCCTATCCAGCGCAGGGCAGTTAATTAACAATTAAAGTAACCATGGGAACATGTACTTCTACGGTTATTTTCTTAGTGAATGGCGTTTACCGTTTGAAAAACAATGCTGGTCGGCAGCAGATCAGTGCCGGTATTTTGCTGTAGAGTACATTATAAAAATTGCAGGCCTACAACTAAGGCCTAATAATAATAGACCTAAATATTAATACTAATGTTGGGCTTAATATTAATGAATAATAATAAATAATACAGTATAATATCTGTCTCTTATACACATCTAGATGTGTAAATTAATAATATAGTAATCATTCGTTTATACACCTTTATAAACACCTAAATATATATGAAATGAGATGCATTAACGTCTCTGCAACGTACACCCATCGAAGGCTATACTGTATTGTTTTACTGATATGGTACATGTCAACTTCGCAACAGCTGTTCGCTGAACAACCCTGGGCTGGCGGTAACCCAACCCGCGGCGCCACAAAAGAACCGAGTATTCCTGCTTGCCAGTACCACAAAAGACACTGTCACGTTTAAGCAAAGATAAGACCATTGTTGTACGCGCACATTTATGTTGCCAAGTGGAGAATTCACTGTAGGCGATCACCCCTGCCTTACTTCACCGGTACTTCCTCATACTCGTGGGAATTCCTTTGCTTACCATCAAATTTTACACGTGTGAGGAAAAATTTTTAAAAGAAAAAGAGACAGGTCCATCGCCTCCGAATTAGAGTTTGATAAAACTTAATATGCACTAAATATTGTGTCCTTGAAATTTGGAAAATTTGACCTTGAATGTCCTGGAATTGTCCTGGAAATTTGTTTAAAAACGTACGAACCCTGTATACAATTCTTTATGTAAAACTGATTTTTCTATTGACATTTTCTGTGATTCTCTTATGTGTTTTCGTCAAAAAGTTTTATCCAATGTTAGTAACATTTAGATCCTTTTAACTTTTCATAACTTTTTATATTCACATATTTATATATTTAGGTTTTAATATTATTCAACCCTGTAAAGCGTGACCCTGGACACTGTTGAACTTTGATGAAATAAAATTTAAAAAAAATAAATAAAAATTGTAAACTTTGTTTGCAATCTCTCCTCACTACTCCAAGATCTTTGATAGGATCAACAACACCAAGCTCCCTGTGATCAATTGTGTACTTGAAAAACTTGTTTGAGTGACCAAACTGCATTACCTTACATTTATCAATATTAAGCTTCATTTGCCAGTCAACTTCTCCAATTTAGAATCTTATCCAAGTCTTCTTCAGTCTAAATTGGTTGACAGTCAGCCAAGCTGTTCACACCAAGCACACTGGTTCCACCAAAGTACCACATAAAATAGGTCTGATATCTGAAAAAAAAAAATCAAATAATAAGGAGGCTTCGCATGTGAATGCGTACCTTTAGTTTGACGAATACATCATCATTTTGACGTCATACGCCGACTGCTATCCGCTAAACGTGTGGACGATACGTATATCTTGCTCACTACACGTAAGTGGAAAATGCATAGGGAAATTTTGGATTTCTAGTAGGATCTTTATTTATTTTTTTCACCTATTACGTGTCAAAAATAAATGTATCTTTGAATACATAGTGTCATTTTTGTGACATTTGAAGACAGCAAATTACGATAGGATGCGTCTCATTTTGAGGTATCAAAACATCGGGGCTTTGACCTTGGTGGTGTCGGGATTTTGTGTAGGCCTATGCCTACTTGTAGCCAGGCACTTTTGGGTTATAAACAATAGAGCCTCACAAACACTTCTGGGCAACAAAGGAACTATTTTTTGGCTACAATTTTCAATTTCCAAAACCTTACATATACTAATAAAACTTTGAGAAGCATGATGAGAGACGATTACCTTTGCTGCAAATTTGAATGATTTGTTCGAATTAAATTTTGTCTCTAAGTTAGAAAAACTTAAAAAAATGCTTAGCTTATGGTCCATGAGAGATTTAACACCATATGGAAAAAATGACTATTGTTAAATCTCTTGGCATATCTCAATTTGCATATATATTTTCTGTTTTGCCTGACCCACCAAACAAATTTATCAAAGACCTTGAATCCATTATGTTTAAGTTTATATGGTCAGGCAAACCAGACAAAATAAACAGAAAAACATTAATTGGAGACTATGTAGATGGAGGGCTTAGGATGTGTCATTTAGATTCAGTTGTAAAGGGGTTAAAGATAACATGGATCAAACGATTGCTTAATGAAAATATAAGGGAGTTTGGAAGGTATTTTTTGCACTCCATATGAGAAATTTAGGTGGAAATTTCTTCTGGCGATGTAATATGAAATCAAATGAAAAATGTGTAAGATCAGAAATCAATTTATAAGAAATGTGGTGTCAGCATGGTGTGATATTACTTTCGAAACGCCTCTTAACTGCTTTGGTAAACAAATTTTATGGAATAATTCGCAAATTAGAATTGGAGGAAAACCTGTGTTTAATCAAAGACTGTATAAAAAGGGCATTCAGACTCTTGCAGATATCACGCATGTTAACGGTGTAATAATGTGCTATACCGACTTCCAAAGAAAATATAATATAAAAGTTAATTACATAGATTTTTTTTCACTGATACATGCTATTCCAGCAAATTGGAAAAAAACAATACGAATTAGGTAATGTCTGCTATAATGTACAAAGTAATGAAGATGAAATTCTTGAAAGTGTAAAAAAATCATACAACATGCAAGTTTATATGTGAATTGTGCACTAAAAAGTTATTTAAGACTCCTGTTTCCGAGATGAAATGGGCAGCAGAATTCAAGGATCCTGAACTGAATTGGCCTGATATTTATCTTGTACCACGTCTTTGTATGCAGTCGACGAGTTTAGGATACTTTCAGTTCAGGTTTTTACATTGAATTCTGCCTGTAAATGATTTTCTTTTTAAAATAAATATTATACAATCTGAAAAATGCACTTTTTGTCATTTAGAGACCAAAACAATTTCTCACCTTTTCTGGGACTGTAAAATCACTATTAATTTCTGGAAAGATATTAACAAGCATTTATAATTGTCTTATAAAGATGTTTGTTTTGGTTCTCAAACTAATGTTCACATAAACTTGGTTGTTTTTCATGCAAAGTATTATTTATTTAATATATATAATATATATGTCGATGTAAGAATAAGAAGCCGACATTGTTGGAATTCAAACAGAAACTCCTTTGAAAAAGCAGTTGAAAAACATATAGCCCTAGGAAAAATGTGTCTTTCTAAATGGTGTGATAAATGGAACTTAATCAATCTGTGATTGTGTATTAAAATGACACCCTTGTAGTAAATGTGTATGTCAAATAGACGGTTGAGGTGTTACGCTCATTTATGTAAATTTGGCAGCAAAACTCGCCAAATGTGATAGTAAATTAAAGTAATAGTAAAAGTAAATGTAATCCAAGCACGCTTGTAATTAATGCTTTGAAGATATGCAAGGTAAATTATTATTATTTTTTTTATTTATTTATTTATTTGTTTATTTTTAAAAATTTTTTTTATAGATCTACTTAAAAGAGGCCTTCTATTATTATATTTCATTTTCTTTATATAATATGTTACTTGTGTTTTATATAAAGTATAACTTATGTGATGTTTCATTTATAAATTATGTGATTATGGAAATATAAGGCTTAAGAAAGAAAAAAATGATGAGAGAAGAGAGAGTATAGTAGGCCTAAGCTAAGGCCCTAGGCCTAGGCAGCACTTATTGCGCTGTGATTTTGAAAAACACAGAATAGCTACGAACCGTTACAGATAGCTAAACATATGCGTACACGTATTCGTTCGCGTGCGAAACCTCTCTAATTAAACATGTTGGTAGGATTAATTAGGATTTGTGCTTGTCCTGTCCATGCATATGATTGTTTAAATATATTTTACAGAATTTATTGAAGTAATTAATACCAAGTGTGATTGACAGTAAATTTGTAGGTCAGCCGAGCCATCAATAGTGCACATTTACCAGTGTATGGAATGATGCAGCATATTTAAGCATTAGCTAATATCTTGATAAGGCAAGGCTTTTTTATACCTTGTTTAGCGAACCCGCCGACTGCAAATGTTGATTTCGAATTGATCATAATTTTTTGGACCTTTTCACATTGAAATAACAGCAAGATGTGATTAAAATGTCAATACAATAAAAAAAAAAAAATATTGACACAGACTAAGGATGTAGGTCTAGCAAAGCGGCGCGCGTAAGATGAAATAAATTAACCAATTGAATAATATAATGATTAACTTCTATTGTTTTATTTATATATTCATGTAGCAGAGGCTTGGCCCAGGCAGCATGGAACTTCAGCATTCTGAGGCCTGTATTTGGTGCTCTGCACCAGAGAGTGTACAAGTGAATTTCAGAGCCTACATTTCTATACCAGCCCCTGATTGGGCAAATACTGCAAATGAGGGTATATCACATTGTATGGACTGTGTAAAAGTGTACCATCGTGGAAGGGCTGCTTTTGTGGCAGATAATTCCAACACTGAGGAGGTAAATTAAGAATACAAGGAGAGAATTTGCCAATGTATTACTTTCTGTGTGTTATTTTTATTTACTTACAAATTTCTTATTTATTTTCTCTTTACTTAATATATTTTTTGTTATATAACTGCTTACATTTTTTAGATACATTGAACCTTTTAGTTTTAAACAGGTACCTAATATGCCATTTTCACTGCTCTTTGTACCAACAAAATTGAAACGACTACCTTGAATTAAATTATTTTAACTTTATTATGCCTTAGTATATCACTATTCATCACCATCCCAGATTTTTTTTCTCTGTTGTAGGTTCTATTTCCCATTGAGGTAAAGAGACTGCGACACTCCTTGAAGGAACATGTTGCAGACCTAGCTGATGAACAAAAGGACGTCTTTGATCGTGATAATGATGTGTTCAACTACTGGGGAAGCTCGCAACAAGAAGCTTGCCCTCTACCAGTACCAGTGCAAGAAATTCTTGGATTTCCATTTTATCTCCAGGATGAAGGTGTCAGTAAGTTTTTCCTGCCTATCTTGGCAGTTTACTTGGTTAAGTTTGATTGCTTCTCTGCTGTATTTTCACCTTGAACTTGAAGAGATGTTCTGTAACTGGTCCTGTACAGTATGTTCAGGTGACTGGACTCTATTGTGTATGAAATTTTCATTTGTGTTGATCCAGCAAAAAAAAAAGAACAATAGTACTCACACTACATTTCACGAACGATCTGTTCGCTTTCTCAAGTAGACTGGTGATGTTATCGCCAGTCTGGTCCGACGTCACCTCGGTGTTGTTGAGGTGGAAGTGCATCGCTGTGTCGCTGACGAGGGCCCCCCCTTGTTAGTGTTGTGGTCCAATATGATATCATCATAGATATGTGATAGAATGTGTCCTCCTTCATCTCTGTTCATAGTATCTGCTGTTTTTGAATTTATTTCAAGATGGTCACTACTAGTTACTGGTGTCATGAATTCCTACTTGAGGTATTTCTAAGCAGTGAAGAAATGACTAGGAATCCCTCTTTGACATATAAAATATAAACACAGCTCGCAATCTTGTATCGCAACTCTCAAATAAACTTTTATTCTGTATAAACTCCAACAAGAATCAAAATAACACAACAACATTCTTATTAATGTGTGTTTCAAAAAGAGCCCCCGGAAAGACCAAGCTCTCACCTTATATACATTAGCCCTAGAACTCCAGAGCATTCAAGTGTATTCTATATTGCCTAAGTTCCTCATTGGTCACATTACATCATAATTAACCAATAGACAATTGCTTCTATTACTTCAACATCTAGTTCATTCCATGCCAGCTTAGTATTAAAACACAAACACCATGGTCATAGATTTGTTAATACCTTTAATTGCCTATGTTACAGATAAGGTGTTTTGTCAACTAATGAAGGGGCTTCACAGAACTGATCAACTTCATATCACAGCAGTAGATAAACCGCTTTCTGGACTGTTCATGTTGTTGATACATCCTGACAATATGGTAAAGATATGATGATGATGATGATTTTTTTGGATTGATGATGTGTTTATGCCTAAAAAGTAGAAAATACACAAAAATACAACAAAGACCAATTTTAATTCTATATTGAAGAGCAAAACGATCGCATAACACTGCTGCATTGCTTTCCGTTGCAAGATAGGCCTATTCCAGCCTCTTTAGCTCATTAAAAAAATATTTTTCGTTGTAGAAAAAAAAAAAACTAAAATGCCGACCCTCAATTTCGAACATTTTGGGTCTGTCAAGCGTGGCCAACACAATAATTTTTTTTTTTTTATTTGGCCTTAACATTCTACCATTATGTAATGTACTAAAGACAGTGAGTATTATACCATTTCCATCCTAATGATCTTGTTTTTTTTTTTCTTCATATTGAAAGATATCAAATTGGGCAAACAAATCAGTAGCACACCTTGGCAATTCTGCAATTGAGAGGACTGATGAATTTACTCATGTGATCAGCTTGATGTTATCCGTCGTCTGTTTCTGCTTATTTGATGATCGAATGGTCAGTGTTATGTGTGAGGAGGTCCCGAGTGCTTGTCGCATTCTATCTTCGCATTTGTTTCCAAATCAGCAATTGGATTACTGGCAAGGTATGTACTAGTCCCATCCGTGACTTTATATTTCTCCATAACTTTTCTTTTGCAGTTTTCTATTTGATCTGCCTTTTGTATACCTACTTTCCTTTACATTCAAAATCCTGCCTGTGTGTGTGTGCTCTAACCCAGGAACACCCCATTAATCATTTACTCAATATCTTCTTATTTCTCTGGCCATTTTCTCATCTTGTCATTGAGTATACTGCTATTTATAGCAGGATACTCTGCGCTGTAAACGATCAAAAAGTGACATCATATCTGTAATATACAAGTTGTAAGCTTGGATTCGAGTCCTCTGGTTTCGGATTTCGTCTTACAGTAAAGTGTTGTAAACACTTTGGTAGGCAGAGGTGAGTTAAGGTTCAAGAAACACATAAATTCCCAGACCTTTGCTAGTCAGCCTCATGAGACTGTAGAAATACTAACTAGGCCTATTTTAATAACAATGATCTATTCAAACTAGACTATAATATATTGGACTATCCACTTGTTTCTGCATAGCTAAATAATAACCAAACAAAGCCTAGCCAGATTCTAAAATACCTACATTTATTTACAAATCACCCAACAAGGCACTCGACCATCGCTTCCTTGTTAAGGGCTAGTTCATTAACTACTTAGCTAGATTCTAAAATACTTACATTTACAACAAGACGAATCACCCAATACATCATTATACTAAAATATAACAATATACATTGCAAAAACAATAAATTAATCAGGCCTAAAAACAACAATAACAAGAACTAACCTATATGTTAATAATAGATTAACTAGCATTTTATTAATAAACCATATAAGGTTCAAACATAAAGTACCATACTCTTCAGAAATATTATCAATACAAGCATACATCGTACACTCATTCACTTTCAACGTTATGGAGCAGTACACCCAAGCTCTCTGCGAGAGCCTATTTTATTTTTGCTCTGCAATAAAAATAATCTTTGTTTGCCATCCCAAGATTCCAAACAAAGACAGGTTTTATAAAAAAAGAAAAAGAAATTAGTAATTTCTTTACAGAGAATGATGAATTGGGATTTTTATAATTGCATGAGTTTCATTTCGTCAGCTGAATCTACCTTAGAGTGTTTCTCTCAGTTTATACTGTTGATATTGGTGTTTATCTTAAAGATTCTGTTCTTTGTTGGAAATTAGTTTGCAGTTTCATTGGGAACAACTTGCTAGGCCTAAGTACCTTAAGCAGATTCCTTTGTTTTTAGCTAGCACAGTGCTGTTTTATTGCTATTGTTTAGTTTGCTAGCCTTTGCTAGCACAACATTTCTACATACGTCAATGTATTCGTTCAAATGTTGTATTTCTAATTCATAGTTTATTATTTGTTAAATTTGTGCCTTAAAAACAAACTATAACAAATTATAATTAGATATAATTTGTATTTTAAAAATTTTAATAATAATAATTTTATTCCTACTTTTAAATTGGTTTTGTTACAATAACTTTATGTGTTGTTGTACAGTCAACAACAATGTGGCGTCATCTAACGGTGGACATGGCCAATCACTGATGAAGTTCCAAATCAATCAGTTACAGAGGCTAGATTATGGATATTTTTATAAAGTAACAACAATAAATATTGTTGAAAATTTTGTGCCTGACCTTGGATGAAGGAAAGACATTAGGCGAGTTGGTTTACTGGTTCTTGTTTTACTAGTTCGAACGACTGTCAGAATTAGCCCCAAGGCTATTATTAGATTGAATTTGAGTTTACGTCCGAATCCAGACTTTGCATTAACTGTGTAATGTTCTTTGTGGGAAAGATTGAGAAGGAGTTGCAAGACAATCCACATGCATTAGCAAATGCATTAGTAACTTCGACTATGCCTCGCCATATTTTCGTCAACTATACTGGCTGCCAGTGCAAGAGGGGGTTAAATTTAAGGTCTTTATGATTTTTTTTAAATTTTTTTATTTTATTCAGGTATTAAAAAAATTGCACAAAGTAGCCAAAGGCTAAAATTATTGCATTTACAAAAATATAAGTGTTAAAAATAATGAAATTGCACAAAAACATTAAAAAATGTATTTACAAATAAAAAATGAATGTTTACAAATTACATAAAAATTTGAAAAAATATTTACAAAATACATCAAAATTTGAAAAAAAAAAGAAGCTCATTCTGTAAAAAATAACAATGTGGCAAGCGGAAAAAATGTATTTACAAATAAAAAATGAATGTTTACAAATTACATAAAAATTTGAAAAAATATTTACAAAATACATCAAAATTTGAAAAAAAAAGAAGCTCATTCTGTAAAAAATAACAATGTGGCAAGCGGGCCCCTCAAGCCAATGGGGCATTGAGCAACCTAGTAATATATGGGATTGGTGAAATCTGGTATCTTATAAGTGCATCTGATGCATTTAAGAAAGCTGTTAAAACCTATTCATTTCTGATAGATTAGAGTGTATTTAAGCATAGATGCCAACACTTCTATGGCACTTGTGAATATTGTCCAGGCTTGCCTTGCACCTTAAATTGCAGGGGAACGGTGCGAGGGTGTTTGAATCCTCATCATTCTTTTTATTTTTTTTCTTTTTGGGCTTGTCTTTGGTTAGGGTATATCTCTGATCTTAATGAAATAGCGCTATATAAATGTTGCATTATTATTATTTTCTGTTACGATTGAAACAATTTATATAACATAAAATCATATTGATTTGTGACTTTTGATATTTAAAAATTTCAGGCTTAAGTTGTCTTCTGTGTTGGATCAGTGAAGAGAACTTGAATCAACTTGGAAGTGAATTACACTCAGACATCACCAGGATTTACTTAACATCTCTTATGGAGGAAAAATTAAGTAAGTATCACTAATTTAGGAAATTCAGTTGAGCAGCTCTTCCTGTGTAATACAGATCATATTATGTATTCAGAAGAAATGTGCTGTAGGGTACTACATGTTCATGTTCAACTTCAAAAGAGTATATTCTTTGTAAAAAAAGCAATAGATTGTGCTATGGTACACAGCCCAATTAACCTGTTGTGGCGCTGCATTTTGGTTGTCGTTGGTCCCCTCAGCTCATCCGGAATTTGCTAATTTTATTTATATTCTTTCAGAAACCTATGATGAATGCAACTCATTTTGGCCAAAACTTTTGGGCTTCCAGCAACTCATCGACAAATTGGGATTTCGTATTTGGCAGTATCTAAACGATGCACCAGATGTGGTTTTCAACAGTATCTTTAACCATCCAAGTATTAGAAGTGAGGTCAATCAACTTAAAATGTGAGATTTTCTTTCATTTTGTTGTCAATTTTTTGTAAACATAGTTGATTTTGTATACATACTTTCTGCCTAGTGTCAGGTAACCATGCCATTCATGTCACATTTTCACCAGCATATTCAGTAGTGACTTAAAGAATTTGTTTAATAGCACATCTTAAAAGCATTTGCAGAACCTGCTGCAAGCTCGGTGGTCTAGTGGTTAAGACATTAGGCTAGTTACCTGGAGGTTGTGGGTTCGATTCCCCCCATCCCAAATCGCTTTTTTTTTTGCTAGTATTTAGGGACGTACAGAGTATTCGGTACGATAACACATCTGGTAGGGCAAAACATCACTCCTATGATATTTTCCTGACGCAAAGTCAAATCTTAATAGAATTTGTTTTAATATGCATAAATTATTTTTAAAATTTTCAGAAAATTTACTAAATTTGAGCACAAACTTGCAAACAGAGTTCATGAAACAGCCCCATATACCTGGATAAGAGCCTTTGTGTCATCTTTTTTGGAGTACGAATCTATAGCTGAACAATGTGTTACCATGGTGCTAGACAAAATGACAAATGAAATAAATGAAGACTTGACCAACCAGACGAAGTCAAGCAGAAATCAACCAACAGGAAATCAAAAACCTAGCATCTTCATTGAACATTCTATTTCAACTTTAGTTGAGATTCTAGAGAGTCTTATTAAGTGCAACTTCTTCTGTGTGTCATTACCTTGCTTCAAGAGAAGTTTTAACGTTATGACACTCTACCTTAGAAAGTTCCACCAAAATCAGGGATCCTCTCAACAGATTACAAGTTGGCAGTCATCTCCACTGAGATTTATCAGAAACCTTCTGGACATTTGTGTCAAAAAGGAGATTTCTTTGACCGAATCTCGGCTCTTGATTAAAGATATTGATTTAGTTTGGAAGAAAGATGCACATTTCACAAATGTTGACCATAATCTTCTAAACGTATGTGTACAAAATCTTGTAAAACATTTACGTTCTATTGAAATTGAAGATACAGTTGAGGTCTACAATGATGAGGGTGCAAGTACTTCAACAGTATCGGAAGAGAATGAAGATTATTGTACTTGCAGCAGCAGCTGCACCTTTGAACCTTTTGTTTCCATTAAGGAAGAAATTCTGGACAATGATTTTCCTGAGCCAAGTCCGGATTATATGTTTGAAGATTCGTCAATAACAAATAATTTTGTCGAAGATATTATCGTGATTAGTTCAGACTCTGAAGATGAGCTTCCAGAGGTTACTGGATTGTTGGATGACAAAGTGATAATAAAAAAGGAATGTAAGTCATTGATATTAATATTGAACAAACTTCTATTAAATATCTAGTAGAAATTGAGTGAATAACTTCACCTCAGATTAATACAGACTCCATTTCCCACATTTTTTTGTTGTGTTTGCTATTTTTTATTACACTGCTATTTCTATGTTATTTATATATTGTCTGTGTTTTTCTTTTCTAATTATTATTATTATATTATTATTTCTTGATTTTTTTTTTATCATTTCTTCACTCAACATATATAAAGTAACCAAACTTCAGATACACCATGACAACAAAACATGTTGTACTGGAAGTGTATTTCATATTATTTTATTTGTTATTCATTGTATAATTTTCCTTATGGAATAAAAATAAAGCATATTTCAACAACAAAGCAATTTTGTATTTAATTAGTTGTTAATCATTCTTCTGAAGATGTGTCTGATGCAGAATTGCTGTGGCATCATGGCTTTACAAGAGATGTGTCTGTCAAAGTAAAAAAAATGACCTCAGATGGTAAGATGAACTTTGATGTTTTTGACTGAACAGTTTATCATTCAATTAGAAAAATGAATTGTCTTTTTATAGATATTAGTATTTAAGACAAGCATCATATACTATGCTACTCCACACAGAAGATGAGCTACCATATAGAGAAATACATACTACAGAAAATACTGCATCAAATTCTGTAATAATATAACAGGCATAATTAGCATACTGAAAGAGAGTTGATGGAGGTCGTAATTTGGACCATAAGACCTACAAGCTTTCTATCAGTTTCTTTCCTTATTCAATTAAATAAATGAACTGTCTTTCTATAGATATTGAGCATTTAAGACAAGCAGCATATACTATTCCAGATACTGAACAAGATACGGAAATTGCTGTAAAAGAAAAGACACTTGACGAAGAGGATACTCTACCATATAGAGGACCATATGCTGTACAAAATACTGCATCAAACACTGTAATAAATATTTCTTCAGATACTTCAGCAGATGATGTACCAGGAAGTGTCAAAGGTACTTTGTATCAAGATAGTAAGATAACTTTGAAGTTAGTTTTTGGTTGAACAGGCATAATTAACATACTGAAAGAGGGGTGGTTAAGGTCGTACTTTGGATCTTAAGCTGCATATTCTTCTTATCTTCTTAAAGGAACAGAGTTGTGTTTTAGTTCATAAAGATATTTTACTTCAGTATTCACAGGGTTTGAAACTACTGTAGTTCTCTGGGATTAAAATACTGTACATCTTGACCACAAAACCACATGACTATTACAAATGTTTCTATCAGTTTCTTTCATTATTCAATTAAATACATGAATTGTCTTTCTATAGATATTGAGCATTTAAGACAAGCAGCATATACTATTCCAGATACTGAACAAGATACAGAAAGTGCTGTAAAAGAAGAGCCACTTGACAAAGAGGATACTCTACCATATAGATTACCATATACTGTACAAAATACTGCATCAAACACTGTAATAAATATTTCTTCAGATACTTCAGCAGATGATGTACCAGGAACTGCCAAAAGTACTTTGTATCATGATAGTAAGATAACTTTGAAGTTAGTTTTTGGTTGAACAGGCATAATTAGCATACTGAAAGAGGGGTGGTGGAGGTTGTAATTTGGATCTTAAGCCTGCATATTCAGAGTTGTTTTTTAGTTCATAAAGAAATTTTACTTTAGTATTCACAGGGTTTGAAACTACTGTAGTTCTCTGGGATTAAAATACTGTACATCTTAACCACAAAACCACATGACTATTACAAATGTTTCTATCAGTTTCTTTCATTATTCAATTAAATACATGAATTGTCTTTCTATAGATATTGAGCATGTAAGACAAGCAGCATATACTGAACAAAATACAGAAAGTGCTGTAAAAGAAGAGCCACTAGACAAAGAGGATACTGTACCATATAGAAGATCATATGCTGCACAAAATACTGCATCCAACATTGTAATAACTATTTCTTCAGATTCTTCATCAGATGATGAACCAGAAACTTCCAAGGACACTTTGCATCATTATACTCCATATAAATATACAGACGACATAATCCGAGATATTAAGAAGTCAAGTGCAGAGAAACTAAATGAAGCACAAAAAAGAATTAAAATACAAAAAGACATCATAGCTAAGGAACGTAGGCGAAAAGAACGTTCCAATGTCATCACTTCATCTGACTCAGAGGATGAAAATACCATGTTATCAACAAAAAGATCATTAACGTACAGCCGTGATCGCATAGGCAATAAAGTGTCAAGTAGTTTAACTGTGCCCACTGAAAATGCTAAATCTGGCTCAGATTTTGATGCAAGTTTTCAGACATTAAAACACCATCAAAGAGCAGGTGAGACTGGTTCGAATTCGGTACCAAAGAGGGTATCATGGATATCACCAAAAAGAACTCCAAAATATTTTGGTCATGACCTCAATGATCAATTAAGTGACATTAGTAGTAGTGATATTGAACCTCAAGTTGAATTGCAGATAACAAGACCGAATGTTTTTAAAAGAAATATATTTTTAGATATTTGGGAAAAAAGCGAAGAGGTAGAGACATCAACTGTACCAGCAAACAGATCACAGTCATTGATAAATGCATGTTCTCCAGTTGACCAGCAGGTTGCACCTGAAAGCCAAGATAATCCTCCGAGCAGTAACAGAATAACACAAAGAGAAAATATCCTTCCCATTGAATCAGTCTCTGAACCTCGTGAAACGCTTTCAATTACAGAAAGAACTAAAGTCGAGGCTGGTATATATCACCAGCAAAGAGTTCCTAAACCTCGCCATAAAGAGAAACACATTAACCGATTCAGCTCTAGGAACGCATCATTTGCACAAGACCTTGAAGCAACTAATTTACAATCAAAGAAAACCAGTAACGCATTAGTGACCCAATGCCAAGAATTTCCTTCCAGATCTGACAAACAGGTGCCCTCTGAGGCAGTATTCACCCGTCCATTGACAACAGCTGACACTCAGGAAACCAGTTCAACATCTCACACTGTAGCTACTACTGGTCAGTACCAACATAGTAAGAAGAAAGTTAACCTGATTGCCAGTCGTGTCATCAACTGTGATGTACTGGTTGCTGTTGTGTTGTCCTGGGATCCATTGTGGCTTGATAGGCAAGGTATTAATAATATTCTACTTACAGAGCTTGTCTCAGGTGGAGAACTATATTTTTGAACTAGAGAATATCAGAGGTCCCAAGTTGAAAGATGTCACCTCCGGGAGATCTTGTTAAACAAGCTTTTTTTACACATCTAATTTCATTTTGATATACGTAGTGATTCCCATCTGCACTTACTTCTGTGAGACAATTGATAATAAAGCCTTGAAATCATGCAAATATTATTAATTTGCGGGAAGTGGGTTATTTTCCAGGAGGTTCTTGTGGAAGTGTGGGAGTCCGACCCAATTTCTGTGAATTGTGGGAGACTTCAGATCCCTGGAATGTAAGAATCATGATTAAAAAGTGATACATATACAGTTTGTTTTAACTGACCAGGATATACTGTATAATGCTAAATAATAAATTATCTAGAATAAATACTAACTTACTCAAAAATAAATAAAAGTACCAATGACCACTAAATATTAATATGATGCCTCTAGAGACTTTTGTCAACTGTGCATATCCCGTTCCAATGCAGAAAGTAATTCTTTTATTTGTATTCTCAAATTGTTATATGTTAAACTGCAAGAGTAATTGACCAACTATTTAATATTTATAGTGTTTTTAAATTTCTCTTGTTCAGTGAAACCAGAGCAAATTGCTAGAAAGCTAGGTATGCATTTGCAGAAGGTTCCTGTAGAGTTTGACTCCATTGACAGCTACATCAATGTCTTTGTTCCTTTGCTTCTTTTGGAGACTTGGCACTATGTAAGTTATTCATTAATTCATTGCACCATTATCATGTCTAAACAAATGAGCCTTACAGTACTTTAAATTTCATTTTTTATTTCATTTATTTTCATCCAAATCAACAGAGAATCATCGCCACAAACAGGCAAAAATAAAACACTTGAACCAGTATATTGTGGCATGATTTTGAAGTATATGCCAACAATATAGTATATAAAGTATTACGTGACTTTAAAAAAGACATTTTCATTTATTTTCTTTTAACAATAAGTTTTAAAATTAGGCCAGGCAGGATTACCAGAAATATACTAAAATATAAACTAGTGGCTCTCCAAACCAAAATGCATAAACATACTAAAATATAATAATTTATATCAATAATTTATAAACAGTTAGACCATTGAGGAATTAGTTTAGATTAATTCCTCCATGGTTAGACCAATAAAAAGAACAAAAATATCAACATTCTAATGCTGAACATAATCATCAGTATTCTTAAAAGTGTTTTAATTATTTATTAGGTTCTTCAGGAATATCAGAAAATTAAAGGAACAAAGAGCAAGTGTGTGAACATGAAGTATTTCCAGCATTGGAGAAACCCGGATGTCTTGTCTGGATTTTTCCTAAAATGCAAACGTAAGATTTTTGTTATTAGAAGAATATTTATTGAGTGGATGCAGAGAATATTTCAAAATAGCAATTGCAGTACCTGCTGCTATTCATGGTTGTTTCACCAGGCTAGTTATCTGGAGGTTGTGGGTTCAATTCCCAACGGAATCACTTGCAAGATTTTTTTCACAAGTATATAATTTGGGAACATACTGAGAATTTGGGAACATACTGAGGATTTGGTATGGTAACTCCTCATGTAGGGCAAAACATCATTCCTATGAGGTTTCCTGATGCATAATACATCACAATCATACAATGGCGTATTTAGAAGTCTTAAATTGGGGGGGGGAGGGCTGATGGGGGGGCGCGAAGGTGAAGTGGGTGGGGGCTTGATGATCAGTTGAGGGGCACTAATTCGCAAAATATGGTGATTTTACTTGATTTTTAACTACTTTACCATGATTTTGGGGGGGTGACTGGGGGTGCGAGTAATTTTTGGTGGGCGTGTGCCCCCATGCCCTTCCCTAGATACGCCACTGCAATCATAGCAATAAAAAAAATAATAATATAATACGGTAATGATAAGGTTAACCATAAGAAATCGCTACTTCCACTGCAGCTAAATTTACTACTAAATCAACTACCAAACAATAAAAGTAGTTAAGAAATTTTGCGTTTGACCTTTGCATTGTTGACATTTCTCTTTTCATATATTATGGCCTCTCTAAAAATGATCATCATACTTTGTTTTTTATTTGCCAGAACAAACCTTTTCCAAAAGCTGGTGTCCGTCTGTGCTTGATTTGGTGATCTTATCACTGAGTAGGCCTACATCTGGAGAAGAGGTTCCAAGCTATCGTGTTTTTGCCATGGTTACCAAGACAGATGTACAACACAAAAAGGGAAAAGGTCAAGGTGAACTTGAGTTTGAATAATTTTATACGGTGCATATTGGAGCTTTGTACTAATTCGCTTATTAAATTACCATTCACATGTTTTTCTAAAATATCTATGTCTCAGTCAGTACAAAGATATACGAGACTGGGGCTAAATAGTAACGATAATTACCATAAAGTGATACAGGAGTTTTGTTTATATTTTCAGCACCCCAACCGATTTTTACTTTAGAAGTGGAGGTACAGGTACCGGCACTCAATGAGAGCATTCTCGTGGCGTACATTCAAGAAAATGTTGACATTCAAATACAGGTAAACATGTACAAAGGTAAAGGTAGTAGAAACTGTACAGGTCTGGAGTGCTATCCCTCTTTCATAAGCGTTGTGGGGGGCCCAGACTGTGCAATGCTTTGCCACTCCCCCTCACTGCGAGTCTGTTTACCTTCCCATTTTCACATTTGTGAAGTAAAAATTTATAGGTAGTCGAACCTGTACAGGTCTGGAGAGCCCATCACTCTTTTGTAAGCATTGGGGGCCCAGGCTGTGCAATGCTTTGATTGGATCACCACTCGTCCTCGCCGGTACCCATTTATACTCCTGGGTAGATAGAGACAAACGCAGATAAAGTGTCTTGCCCAAGGACACAGTGAGAGTTTCAAACCCCTGACCACAAGGTTGAGAGTACGAGCTTTAACTCTTCGCCAAACGCTTCTACTTATAAAAACATATACAATGTTTTCATAAGCAGACTATTTTGAATAGACAAAGTACTAACGAAGGAGCAGAATATCATTTTGAGAAAATGTTATTTATAAAAATAATAAGTTGTTGATTTCCTTCACAGTAAAGACCAAGCCGCAAGCAACTAATGTTCTGTTTTTTGTTGTAGGCTGTTAGTAGTATGATATCACATCATCGACTTTTCATGTGTTTCAAAAATCTAAACAAACATGTATTGACACGAGACATTTTGAGCCCTAGAGTACGACCAGTACAGCAGCCAATCACTAGCCCTAACCCTGGAAAGTTGATAACGGTTAGTGATTAACTAAATAAATGTAGTTGAAGTTAAATGGAGGCCAACAACATGGCTAAGTGTATTTCTGAGAAACTTCTCAAATATTTGATGTGTTTATTGGCTAACATAATGTGTGAAAAGTTTAATGTGTGAAAAGTTTTCAATTATTTTTACCTTGTAGGCCTATACATAATCTTTCTAAATATTGTATATATTTTTTAATATATTCATATTGATATTATTAAACAGAAACTTAATGTATGTCAGTCAGAAGCTGCTGATAAGATTTTTACTTGTATGGAGACAGAGTTAATGATTCCAAGTATCAGCCTACTACATGGCCCGCCAGGGACTGGTAAAACACGGACTATTATCAACATTATTGAAAGAATTTTGAAAGTAAGCAATTTTATCATCTTTATGGTATTGCACTGTAGAAGTTCATTTTGTGTGAGCTATATATAATATTCCTTTTTTAATGCTGATGTATATTTTCTTGATTTGTATTTTTATGAATGCAATCACAGGAAAATCAGTAATTCACTGGTAGCTGAAAACTTTTGAATATTTAGGTGGTTGTAAAAATTAATTATTACAAATTTTACATTCATATAAATATAAAATTGGTAATAATTAATTTTTTAAAGTAAATCATATATGTGGGTTTGTTTGTGTTCAGTAAAAAAAATTACTAGACTTTAAAGAATTAAATTATGGATTTGTAACAGAAAGTTAGGAGCTATTATTTAAAATTTTGTTTATTCTTTTTAGAAAGAACGACCAGTAGACAACAGCCCGTTACTACCTGGTCAGACGCGTAACATTATGGACAACCGTCCCAGAATTCTTGTATGTGCACCGTCCAATACGGCTGTCGATAGATTGGTGCTAAATGTTGTCGAGATGTGTTTGGGAGAGAATCACGAAGGCAAAAGATTATGTTAGTTCTGTTAATATTCTAAATGGTGTTAAAAACACTTGAAACAAAGACACTATTAAGGGATGTTAGGTCAAACATCCCTAGTGAAGTTTGTTGAACTAGCTACCTTTGGTGACTACAATGATACAGTACAGTATTCCGTTTTGTATGGCACATTTTATAATCCAAAGCCCTTGAACAACTAGCTGTGGTCAATAGATCCATACTAAAAAAACTTGTAGGTGTAACATCCTTTGTTCCATGAGGAGTATTTTAAGCCATGCTATAGCAATGTTCATGAGAGTGGTACATTTAATTTACATTACATTTATACTTCTAGATGGACCCCTATGGAAGTAATTGTCTTTTTTTGGGTTTTTTTTTTGTTGCAATTTTAGGGTTATCCCCAATATGCTCTTTTGTGATTTTATCAGGTCATGTTTATTTGTTTCTGTTATGTATTTTAAAGTGCATAATGAATGAATCAAATCAAAAAATGAAATGAGTAAGAATTTTGCTCAAGGACACAAGCTGATAGACATTAGTGTATTCAACCCCTGACCTCATTGTTTTTGTTCATATAGAGTAATTTGGTATCTGTTGAGTTTATGAACAAGAATTCCTTAAAATATACACAATTGTCTATAATTTAACAATTTTCAAACAATATACTTTTATATATTTATCGATATTTTTTTATAGATGATTCAAGATTCAACTGTGGTTTATTCACTATTGTGCGTGTAGGTTACAATGTACATGAGAAGTGTATGCGATATCAGCTATCCAACATTGTAAACAAACAAATAGAAAAAGGTAGGGGTTTAAGTATTATATAATAATAATAATAATAATTTATTTGGATCTACAGTACACTTTTTCATTAATAGCAAACTTCTTAATGGAATGTGCGTCCAGAACAATCAATGAAAAGCAAGTTAAACAGACACGGATCTGTGCAGTGGCTACAAACATTGGATTTATTCGTGTAAACACCAAGGATAACCCATGAAAGCGTAAAGAAGACTTACCGTACTCGCGCGAATAAGCGCCCGGGCGCTTAAAATATTTTTTGCACTTTCTCAGGGGCTTTTATTCAAACGGGGCGCTTATTCGAACGGGGCGCTTATGAAAACAAGAGTGGAAATTGATGGGGCGCTTATGGAAATATATTAAAATCGAGGGGTTCTTATGGGAAATTATTAAATTTAAGAGGCACTTTTTGAATGAAAATGATTAAAGGACATTACGAATGGTGCTTAGGCGGAAAAATAGCCTAATCATCCAGAGAACATGGATCATGACAAGAATGCGTGAATATCATAATAGCAAAATAGTAGATGCAATTAGTGGTGGTGGGTAGTGGTTAGCTTGTTGGCAATCGGCAGATTGAGATTAGCAGGATGGCAGGACCATTGTATTTTTTATTTAAAACTTAGATGAGAATGTGCTAAAGGTCGGAACATATGTAAAAAGAGTAAAGTTGGAAATACTGTCTGTCCAGGGATTGGAGCTCTCATCAGTCCAAGGGAAATATCCTCATTGACCTAAGAAGAATGTGTTTCTACTCTGCAGCTCAAATCATGACAACAACCACAGTCCCAGGATTGATTTTATTATTGACTTGCAAAAAAGAAAATCTTATGTTCTTAGGGGGCCCTTATTCAAATTAGAAGTGGGCGCTTATTCAAACGGGGCACTTAAGGAAATTTTTATGTTAGGAGGGGCGGCTATTCGAGAGGGGCGCTTATTCAAACGGGGCGCTTATTCGCGCGAGTACGGTATTTCCAGTGGGGGTCCTTCTGGTGGTGATTGGGCAGTACACTAGGAGGCAATATCCTATTCTTTGCCGAATAGTTTACTGAGTTCTTTAACATGTACACGGGCCATAATGCACACAGGTAGCAATCACTTAAACGTCTCATTCGAAAGACAGTGCGCAATCGTAACTTGCATTTCAGCCCTCCAGCTGACACACAAAGAGAGCAGCGATGGGAATTGACCTGGGGACCTAGAGATCTCCACGGTTCAGTGCACCCACGGTGATTACCACCAGTTTAGCCGACTGAGCTAAGCTGCTCTCTTACTGAGCTAAGCTGAGCTAAGCTGTTCTCTTACTGAGCTAAGCTGTTCTCTTACTGAGCTAAGCTGTTCTCTTACTGAGCTAAGCTGTTCTCTTACTGAGCTAAGCTGTTCTCTTACTGAGCTAAGCTGTTCTCTTACTGAGCTAAGCTGCTCTCATTGTCCTTTAAACTGCCTCTCTTGGCTTTTAAAATATTACTGTTTAATGTGTATAAATAGCATTATAACTGCCATCTTTTTTCTCTGTTTTGAGTGATATTTTTTATGAAATGGGCCCATATTAAATATAAGTACTATATTTATTTATAATTGGCATGAAGTTGATGAATAAAATAAACAAATAATTTAAAATGTGTAATATTTATTTTAAAATGAATAATTGTATTTAAAATCTAGCAAGCAAGAACATGGAGACTGAAAAGTTGAGGAAAGAAATTATTGGTTGCCAGAAAGCGCTTCAAGAAGCAGAATTATGTTGTGGAAATTTAAAGTTCAGTTCTAAATCAAGTACAGAAGAGGTGGGTAAAATATCTACAAGGTACATGGTGTTATTAATTTCCCTTGTTAATGTAATTAATAACTGTGATTTTGTACTTTGTGTATTTAATAGCTTAAACAAGCTGAATGCAAGAGAGACCATTTGGAAAAACACTTGCAACATTTGAAAAGGAAAGATTTTGAGACAAGCGTCCGAGTAAACAGCAAGAGTATGCGAGAATTAGTACTTAGACATGCTGATGTCGTGTTCTGTACTTTAAACGGCAGTGGCTCAAATCTACTAGATATCCCAAACACAAATCGGCAGCATGATTTCAAATATGTGATTGTAGATGAGGTGAGTTGGGTATTCCATGCTTGAACTAGGGTATACTAAGCTACATGAGATGCCCAGTTGCCTTACGCTATGTCCACGTTATAAAGTTTTTTGGGACAAAAAAAAAATTCTGGTTTTTTTTGCCCACGCTTTATCCACTTTAAAATATTATTTTGTATTGTGTTTATTATTATTATTATTATTATTAAAAAGCATTTATATAGCACCTTTACAAAAAATATCAAAGTGCTGTACATCAAAACCCATTATTACAAAGATAAAAGAAAGTACAATATTTTAAATCAATCAATAAAAATGGCAAGTACAAATTACAACATTCAATGAAAATTTCAAAGATCAAAGTGCTGTACATTAAAACAAGTTTTACAAATGTAAAAGTAAGTACAATAAAAAAAAATCAATAAATAGAAATAGCAAATACAAATTGCAATTTCGGAATTCAATCAAATTTCCTCCGAAAAAAAAGCTAGTTAGTGATAAAAAAAAAAATAGCAACAATAAAACACAAGTGTGTAATAAAATTACGAATCAGTCAAGTATAGGTAAAAACCATTAAAAAACTACTCTCTAGGAAAAAGATGTGTTTTTTTAAAAGTTTTTTAAAAGATTGCACACTGGGGGCCTGGCAGATCTCATAGGGGAGATTATTCCATAATTTTGGACCAATCACAGAAAAAGCACTTTCACCAAAAACTCTTTTTGTTGATCTTGTGAATGATTTGTTTGCTTTTGAAATAGATTAGCAATGTTACATTCTTGATGTTCTGATATCACCTCAGCCTGTTTAAACTTTGTACTACTTTATTCTAGGCATGCCAATGTACGGAGTTAGACACCTTGATCCCACTGCAGTTTAAGGGATCGAAGCTACTGCTTGTTGGTGATCCACACCAGCTTCCAGCAACAGTCTTATCAGAGGTTAGACAACACAAGTGTTTGTTGCACATGCACGTATTCCTTTGCGATGTTCTGATTGGTCAGTTGTTAAAGCCCCATTCCCGGCAAAATTTCTGTTGTTAAGAAAAATCTGATTTTTATATATGTTATAAAGATTTATAAATATAATTAAAAATTGCTAGTTTAACTGAATTTAGACATTCCTAAACATGAAAAAAAATGTAAATAAGACGGAAATTTGATTTTTTTTCTGTTCCAAAAAATGAATGAATTTTTTATGTTTGATTTTGCGGAAGATCTGCAAAGAAATATAGTAGGCTCCGGAAACTTTAGCCTATCCAACACTGCTAGGCTAGGCCTAGCCTTACCTCGATTTAGGTTCTGTTATCACCTAAAAAACAGCCGACATGATATTTTCCATTGCTAGTACTGACACTTGTGAAATATAATATTTCATTGGAATTATTTCAAATTTGTTAACAAAATTTTTCTGATCAAGATTTTTACAATTAAATAAACCTACTTGATCAACCACAGTGTGCAAGATGCGAAGTACAAAAACTAATCTCATTTGATGCGATCTACAACCAATAAATTTGCCTAGTAACGAAGAAGTTGTTGAGAAAATAGTAACCTCCTATGAGAAATAGTCTCTATTTCTCTTTTTTTTTTATCCTTTTGCGTAAAACTAAAATTTATGCCAATATTTTTTGATGGTTATAATAATTAGAGTAATGCATATGCATTTTTTCCAAAAAAAAAGAAATTCTTTTTTTTCGTGAAATTTTGCCGGGAAGGGGGCTTTAAGTTTGATTAACACTCACAAAATTTCATTGTGTTATTACTTTAGAGAATGTTGAGAGGCTCTGTACATGAATCTGGCTTGATATTCAATGTATATGTAATTATGAGGAGATATTAATAGAGCTTTATGATTTGTCAATCAAGCTTAACGACTGACAAATTAGAACAGGGCAGCAAATATGAGCTTGTCCTACAAAAATCCTGTCAACCCATTAATGCACATCTTTACATACATTTACGCTATCTTTTTCTGGAACCCTAACAACAGTAACTAAGGGGTAGGTCTTAGTGAAAAGGTACATTATGCTTAACCCCTTAGAGATTTCCACTCTGCTGAAATATAATTTGGGTGATGTGTGCAGTCATTACTATAATTGAAGATAATATATGTAATATAAAGTATATTATTAATTTTAAAGTTTATTTTGTTCACAGAAAGCAACAGAGTTGGGCTTTCAACAATCTTTGTTTGAACGTATGTACAAATACTTTAAAACACTGAATCTACCAATCAATCCTGTACACCTGTTGAGGACTCAGTATCGAATGCACCCAGAAATCTGCAGCTTTCCCTCAAGACACTTCTACAACAATGAACTAGAAACTTATCCGTATGTACCTTATGTGTAGTGTTTCCTATCCCTTTAAACATTCTCTCCTGTGTATACAAGATTATTAAATGATTGAAATTCCAGAATGTTCATTACCCTCCCCTTCCTCATCCATCCAATTCCTCTTATCTATCTCTTCCCATGTTCTCCACTGCATATTTCTTTTTCCAAACCCTCACCTTGCCCCACTCATCTTCACTCTTCTCTCACCTTTCTCAAAGGCTTCCTCTCCCCATTTCATATAATTATATATAAAATATTTAAATATGTGGCAAAGACAAGCCAAGCCTGTCACTTTTCACAAATCAGAGATAATGGCCAAAAAAATGTCAACATTTTTAAAATCTATTTTATTGCACTAAACTAACCTTTATATATTATTTATACATCATTCTATGTTGTTATATTCCCCATTTTCAATGTTAAAACAAAATTTTGGTGATGTATTCTGCTTGAGAAATGCCCAAAATTGTAAACTTGAAGGCTGATTTCTCAAATATTGTTCTTTTAAGAGCTGTATGTTTAACGTCTTTAATAAACTTCATAACAAAATGTCGGATTTAAATGATTCTTTTACCATCTTATAGCTCTCATTTTACTGTTTAATAACTATTATTAACTAAAAATCTATTTTTGTGAGGAGTGACTGGTTTGGCTTGTCTTTTCCACATATACATTATAAATAAAATATAAAATTATAAATACTTTGACTATAATATTTTTGTTATTGCAGAAAAGTCAAAGAAAGATATGAGTCTTTTCCATTTAAACCTTACTTAGTATTCGACATCATAGAAGGCAGAGAAATGTCAATTGACAGGTGAGTAAATATGCTATTTCGGGGGCTGATATGTAAAGGCTGATACATGTCAAGGGTCAGGTGTACTGCAGTAGTAGGGAGCTTTTGATTACATGACGGCAAAAGTCATCTGTGCAAGAATGTTAAATTCTCGTCGCATGGATTCTAGGATACAATTTGGCCAAATCTACATATGCAGAGAATATAGGACACCCGGAAGGATGCTCACGCATGAGTGATTCCGTTCTAGCGTCGCCTTGTTGAACAAATCAAACACTTCCTATTATGTCATGAAACAATAAATACTTTAATTATTTATATTGATGGTTAAATGAAAAAAAATTTCAATATTATATAATAATTTAAATAGGTTTTTTTCATGTTTATATAAAAATTATTTCTAAACCTACTTCTTAGGGCAACTTTTTCAGAATTTAATCAGTTAGCTACTTTTAATTACATTGTGTAATGTTCTGTTTATTTTTTGTTAGAAATATCACAAATGAAGCAGAATGTGAAATGGTATTAGCATTACTCTCACCTCTGATAGCCATTGAGAAGTTAAGGATCGGGATCATAACACCATATAAGCAACAGAAGAGTTTGCTTGAGGCCAGAGTTAATAAAAGGTAAACATGTTTTTGCTCACTTAAAATTCCCATATTCTCAAGATTCTGCCCTAAGTGTTAATATTTAAATTCATGTATTAGAGAAACACAAAAGACATGTACTCCAGAGATGATGTTTTTATTTTTCATTTCTCAGTTTTAGATATGATATATGTGGAATTGTAATTTGGCTAGTTAAGGTCCAAAAAAAAAGCAGATTGAGAGCTACTGTTTAAAAAAATATTTTTACTGGGTTAATATTAAGGCGAAAAAAAATTATTTGTTTGCCCTCCTCACCCACCACAAAAATAATAGGGGCGGCAAAAAAAAACTTTAAAAAAGGCTGTTTTTTTTTAGCTTTTTTCTTTACACATTACAATATATGTGAGTGAACTGATCTTTATTTCTTGCCAGATGCCCTACCAGGGCCGTCGGAACCGCACCAGCAGCACCGGCTTTGGCCGGACCACTTTTTCTCAATTTTATTACCTTTTTAAAATAATTATATACTGATACCTATAAATTATACTAATTATTAATGTCTTTTTAATGTTATTAAATTTAAACAAAAATCCACAATGCACTTGTTTTTGTATTGTCTGTGTACACTTTAACTTTTAACTTTTTTGACTGCCAATCCTTAAATTTAGTAATTAGCCTAAGATTGATTTTGAAAATGTTTAAAATAAATATAAATAACTATTTATAAAATTTTGGGGGTTGGAGTCAGGCAAATTTTCGTCACCACACAAAGGTATACGGGTCAAGCCATCCCTAATTACTTGCAATCAAAATTTATACCCCTAAAGTGGGCCATTCATTTTTTAAGTATGCATGTAGCCAATGCGATTCTGACGGCCCTTGAAGTGATCTCTTTTGTGAATATACTGTAGGTCTAATGTTTTCTTGCATAGTTACTAACTTGAGATATTTTAAATGCGTTACTACACCAGTTGGCTGGTTTAAGGGGGGGGGGGGCGCCAGGCTTAATCCAGGGTCCAGAGGCAGAGGTCCGGCAGGGGTAAAAAAATCGCAAAATAAGCTGTTTTTATGTTTTTATTAACCATGGTATTTTTTAGGGGGTTGGTGGGAAGGGGGGGGGCAAGTAATTGGAGGGCGTGCCCCCCCCCCCCGCAAGTAATTGGAGGGGGCCCCCCCCCCCCCCAGCAGCCCTATGTCTTGAGTCATAACGTACTATCTCCATGCTATCTTGTGGTTGTCTCCTAAGAGAGAATGGTACCGGCTATACAGGCTGTCAGCATCTACTTCCGGATATTTAGAAGTGCCAAAAAGGTTTTACACTTTATGGTGAGGGCAGGGGTGGATATGCTATCCTACTAACTTTAAATCATGTATCCATAGAATTGGGTGGCAATTTCAAAATTTCAAAACCAAATGTTTTAAGCGCCCCCGCCCCCTCCCCAAACGGCCGGACCACTATCAAAATGCTTCCGACTACATACTCCGACTTCCATCGACATACATACATACATTCATTGCAAATTGTCAACTGTGGGTTATTTTTATTACGTCTGATGAGTATTCTTGGAGAAATAAAAAAAAAAAAACTTTTATTCCACCTGCCCCTTTTTATCATTTAAAAAAAGAAGGGCAAACAAACAATTTATTGTTTTCGGCCTAATGAACATATAGTTTTATACATTAAGGAATAACCAATGGTTGTTTCTGATCTTTCAAACCTGTAGACTTGTCAGTACTGATGAAGACATTAGGAAAAAAATTGAGATTTCTACTGTTGATGGGTTTCAAGGACAAGAGAAAGATGTCATTATTTTGTCTTGTGTCAGAGCAAGAGGCAGCAGCATTGGGTTTGTATAACAAATATTAAAAGCTATCTAAATATAATAAATTTAAGCAGGTTTTTCACTAGGTGAACTTATACACACCAGTCTTTCACCTGCCAGATTGTTTGCATTTGGTGGCTCATCTAATTGTGGAGTTCAAACTGTTTCTACTTTTTGCAGCCAATCAGAGCTCAGGAAAAGACATCATGCCCATGAGCACATAATCGAATCAGTAATTGTGCGCATCATGGCGACATGTCAGTAGCAAAGTAGCAGCAATGTTTTTAAAGAATGCATATCGCTAATCTTTTTGCGCATGTAGTGGAAAATAATAAAGCACTTAGCATTTTTTGAGGTGGAACTTTTTGTATTGTGTGACTAAATCTGCCAAGTCAAAACCACTTATAATGAATATACAGTATACACTAGGCTAAGTTAGACATTTTTAGTTAGAAAAAATCGTGTACATGCTTTACAGTTTAACATAGCTATTAATCTCAGTACATAATCCACAATTTTGAAATAAACTTCTACTTTTAAAATTATCATTAGTATAATTAGGAATAACATACTAATATTAATAACACTACTGTAATAGTACTGTAAATTGAGAACAGTACTGTATATAGTACTGTAATAATAATAATAATAATAATAATAATAATAAAGACAGCAATAACAACAACTGGATTTATACTTTTGGCAGGCAAATCATTTAACAGTTTTTTTTTTATTTGCAGGTTTGTAGCCGATTGCAACAGAATGAATGTTGCTCTTACAAGAGCGAAAATGGCCCTCTACATTGTAGGACACTTCAAGACCCTCCAGGTATATAAGACTTAAATAATTTTAGATATATCAATAAATTCATCCACCCATCATTCAAGATCATTTATCCACTACTGCTTAAAGTCTTATTTTACATCTGTCTAAAAGCTTCTTGCTGTTTTTTGCCTCTCCTCTCCATTTTTGAGTTTGGTATAAAAAAATTCTTTTTGTTTTTGGATTTCTTTGGTGTGAAATACACTGAGGATAACATACAGACATCTGAAGGCTCATTTCCAAAGGCATGATTCTAATGTTGAATTGGACAGTAAACCAAGAGAATTTGTGCCCTACCTTTTCTGAAGAGTATGCTCCACTTTTTAATATGGATATTGGCCATGATACACGCAGGACCATTGTCTTAAGTGCCTGATATGGAAGAAAGTGCACTATTGAAACTTGCATTTTAGCCCTCCAGCAGTGGCCAGAATTGAAACGGGGACCAAGGTTGTGTATGGAAGTCCATGGTTCAGTACATGCACACATTGGTTACCACCCGTTTAGCCAACTGAGCTAAGCTGCTGTGAAAACAATAGGTTAAAAGACTGCTGCTAACATGCATGTTTTTATATGAGTTCATTCTTTGTATGTTTTCAGATGAATGAAGATTGGAGGAAATTACTTGTTGATGCTAAGAAAAGGAAACGGATCCACGTTGTTCACACAGGGCAGTATGAAGCAGCTGCAGAATTGTGCAGGAAGGATCAGGGATCACACAATAGTGAAAATAGAATTGAATTTGAAAGTAGGCCAGTGAAAGAGGCTATAGGACCAGGAAGAAAGCCATGTAAAGAAGTTAATAGACAAGAAAAAGTTAGCAGGAAAAAAATGACACCAGATGAGGGTACTAGGGACAAAAGTCAGGATCTAGGAATTGAGGCTAAGCAGCATAGACAGCCATTTGAAACAGAGAGTAGAGACCATGGAAGAGTGATTGATAAGGATAATGTACCAAATAAAACTGCATCTAATGGACAGCATAATGAAAGGTTAGCCAATCTGCCACATGCTGGACATACTCAGGAAGACAGCCATATGGAAAGGAGTGGAGAAGGATACTCATCGGTTGGGTCTGAGGATTATGGTATGGAGTCATTGGAGGAGGGTGAAATTAGAGAGGAGCCAATTCCTTCCACAAACAGAAGTAAAAGATCCAAGAAGGGCAAGAAGAGTTATAAGGATCTTGCAGCAGTCACAGAATCACTACGTTTAAAGTATCCACCTGGTCCTCTTTTGAAGGTAATATCGCACCTACCTTCAAATCCAAATGAGCATCGCAAAAAGCAAGGCAGAAGTGGTAAGCAGAAAAAAACCCCTCAAAATCAAAAACACAAACAGAGTAGAACCAGGAAAGAAAAACATAAAAGCAGTAGATCAAGTGAGACCCAGAAAGTTGGAATGCAGCAGTGTAAAGGGCATAGCAGTAGTAGGACCAACGAGGAAAAATCAGGACAGAAACGTAAACGGCATATCCATGACGACAATCTGGAGCCCAATCAAAAGCGGAAACCTGGACACCGAAAAAAAGAGCCTCCGCAGAAACATACAAGGCGTAGCAGTAGTGCCAATGGGGAGCCCAATTCAAGGCAGCAACATAGGAGGGATGTCAATAATGACAACCAAGAACAGCAGAATTCCCAGACAGACAGACATTCACCAAGCACTTCTACTACCTTGACACCGCAACCAAAGGAGCAAAGACTCCATCATGGGAAGAAGCGAGTGGCACACAAACCGAGACAACAGTCTACTGAACACACTTCATCAGACCTTGAAAGCACATCATCACGCCCACCTGCAAATGAAATACCGAATGGATGCAGTGTTCAATCTGAGGCAAGTCATTCAAATACAGTGCACCCTCCAGGTTCATCTTCCAGGTCGGGCCATACAAGATCTATACTATCATCTCCATCAAGACCCAAGAGTAAATCTGTTAGGAGGATTAGAATTTCTTCAGCCCTACCAGAGGTCCATATTGTTGAAAGATACATAGTCAATCAACCATCTTCTGAGTAAACAGGATTATTCCATTTTCTAGCAGGGAATGACAGATTAATAAATTCCTAGTGTACAGTAAGTTCATAATTTTTAGGGAAGGATCTCCACATTTTAACTGCAAAAAAATTTCTTTCTACAATGCATTCAGAAAATGTGTATGTTACCTGGTGCTCATTGTTCACCCACCATCTGTCGTAAAATACCTATATTTCATTGGATAGTGCCATTTGGTTTTAATAAATTTTGTAAATATTGTTTAATAATGTGTTCAAACGAGGAAAGTATGCTTTTAGGGGAGAGATACTAGTGCAGATATACCAGAAATATTCAGGAAAATCAATGAAAAAATTTCTGTTAGAGTTTCAAGAATAGGCCTGTTTAATTTCAGCGATGTAAGGCTCAGTCACAGATATAGAAAAACGAGTCATGCGGTTTTTTTTTCACATATTTTATTCAGTACTTTTTGCTGAAGTCAATCACATTAAGTATAATTACATTTTTAATATTAATAATAAATGAGTGTGGGCATGAACAGTATGCAATAACTTTATGTTTATTAGTTTAATTTTGATGCTCATGCAATTATTATTTATATTTTTGGACGTTTGATAGTGAAATTTCTATTTACTCGCTGTTAATTATTACTGTTGTTTCTTTAGGATTAGGGTAAAAATATTTGGCATAAAGTAGGCAGGAGAAGAGCGTTTATAGCTCCTGCTAACATTGTAATACTTTTCCCATCCAGAAATCCCATACCACTTATATGGTTTGAGTGCTCTTGCTTCATGTCCACAACTTGACCCTTCTCTGACAAGGCTGTGTAAAGAAAACAATGAATCATAACATAATAGTGCATTTGCTCTTTTACATTCAGGTGTATTTGTTTATAGAAATATGTTATATGTATACCAAGTGAACAATCACTTTTTAAACCAAATTATTTTAAGGAATAGAAGTATAGTTGCATGTTTTGCAAGCATTGCATTTTTAAAGTTTTGAATGCTTCATTTGAATTTAAGAAAGAGATGGATAGAGTTGTGTGCTTTGCCTAGTATAAAGTAATGGAGTCGTTTTTTGTTATCGTTATTTTTCATATATAATTATTATTATATTATAGAGTATTATGTAAAAAAGTTCTTACCAGAATACTCAAACAGGGCCCCGAGGTAAGAGTCGATGAAGGAACCCAGAAACCCCCCTACGCCTCCAGCAAATATTATTGGCCACTGAGGTGGTGCCTCCTGCAAGGCCAGAGTGGAGAGGGAAATGAACCCTATGTAGTAGCCTAGGCCTACGACAAGACCACCAACAAAACTTGCAATAAACCCCGCCAGGTTAACAGCTCCATTTGTTCCTAGAAGATAGTTGCAAGTGTGTTCATTCAGAAAAAATATATATATTTTGTTTTGACATTAAAATTTTATAACGAAAGTTATTGTAAACATGACCAGCAAGATAGTTTCTTTTTATTTCAGTCTTAATTAATAGGGGATGATTTAGAGGGGGCCTGGCCGGCCTCGGCGCCCCCCCCCCCAACTTTTGGAAGTAAAAAAAAAAAAAAACTAAAATAATAAAGAAAAAGAAAAAATTGATCGCCCAAAAGGTTATTTTTGAGTGTCTAGAACACAGAAATTTAGCGGGGGCATGCCCTTGGCCTCTATGGTATTGTTAACGCGATCGGTCCCACTTTTCCCCCTTCGCCCCCCCTCTCCCTTTTTTTGGTCATCTCTGGATCCGCCCCTGATTAATGTGTACATGTGATTTTTAGTTTAATTGCGTCCCAATTAACTTTGTTGAAAGTAATGTAAAGTTCCAGATCATCTACCTTCTGTTTATTGGCTGCAAGTAGCAGGTTGCCTCGTCTATAATCACACGTGTCAGTTTTTTTTATAATGTAACATCATTATTTGTCTAAGAACGTACTTATTCGATTCTTGCATAAATATTCCTGAATGCTACTTTCACAGATTGGACATTCATTACAGTAGGTCTAATACTAGTTATTTTGTTTTTAAATTTAAACTGATAATATAATAATTTATAACATATAAAGAATACTGTAATACCCAACCTGGAGGCACTTTGCGCCACGTGGTTATCAATCTAGGTTGTGATTGGCTGACGCTGCCGATCATGGCAGACCAATAATCTCCACTGCTGCTGGAGATGATTCCCAATACTGCAAGGTTGAACCATGACGAAGAGTCGCTCATGTCAATTACTAAACCAGAACTTGTGTTGGTCTTTCGCAGACTGTGGAAGGCAATACAAGATGCAATGCAAAAATTGGCTGATACTGTAATCCAATGTCGCTTCTGACCTGCATTACAAACATTAATAATTAATATTGTTATTAATTATTATTATTTTAGATTAATTATTAATCTAAAATAATATTGATCATTTCAAAGATATTTCATGTACATCTGGATGTATTATGGTAAAGAAAAGGAATATGCAAGTGTGAAAAAAGTTATCAAAACAGGGATTCGAACCTGGCACCTTCTGTCTATGCAGATGCCTGAGCGAACCACCACTGGGGCTTCGTTGTAACTCTAATCTGATCCGATTTTTTCATAAATAAATGAAGTACAATTAGAGACAATCTTGAAACTGCCTTATATTATAATTATCTATTACTTTTCAGTTCCTTGGTTTAAAACAAGATAGACGACACTTTACCCTTCCTTAAATCTTTGCCAAAAACAAGAATTTTCTTCTCTGCTTTGTAGCCAGCTACTTTACTTCCACCCAGTAGGCAAAGCATCAGAGCTGTGAAATAGCATACGTTTACTTTTAGAAGAGCAGTACCGATAAAGAAACCTAGAAAAAGAAAGAAAGAAAAAAACACTACATGTATTATTGTCTAAGGAGGGGGTGAGATTCAATAGTTTATGTATCACAATGAGTGGCGTTTAAATTATGTATAATATTCTAACCTGATACAGCACCCGAAAGATTCACAACATCAGTTACAAAACAATATAAAGATATTAACAAGCATAGCGCCACTTCTGTGCATATGATGTCTAAAAACCCAGGGATGAACAACTCGCCTACAAAGAGAGAAAAAAAATTGTGTTTAATTTTAATATACATGTATATATAGATATAGCCAAAAAGTCGAATAGAGTCAAAAGCATAAAAACGCTGTCGACGGTAAAGTGTGTTTCTCCTGAATTACAAATAAATATACGACACGAATAGTAAAATAGATGCAACATAAATGTAAAAACATCTCTATGACACCTAAAATATTTTTACAGACAGTAAACAATTTTAAATAAACCGTTAACTAACAATTCTCGGATTTATTTGGGGAGGGAATTTCAGGTTCTGGTGAATCGAGTGGGAATACAAACTTTATTATTATTGGAGCGTAAATACCTAAAATTGAGAATTTCCAACAAAATAGTATATATATATACATATATATATATATATATATATATATATATATATATCTGTCTCTTATACATTACATTTTCTTTACATAATAGTCGGCATCAAAAAGACTTTATGATTACGCAAACATATTCGACGGTAAATTATACCTATGTATTGTAGTTTCACGGTTACAGTGAAATAATAATGCTGAACTCCCTCAGGATAAATCCGTTATGTTTGACTTTAAACTAAGCTAAGAATTTAAACATCTCCCCCCCCCCCCGGGTAGACCCATAGTCTCTTCGATAGGTACCCTTACGGAGCATTTATCGGGCTATGTAGACCATTTAATTAAGCCCTTCATACCTTCCATCCCCTGCTACGTTAAAGACAGAGCACACATTTCTTGAACATCCTCAAGACTTTCCCCCGTTACCTAAGCCTATATACCGTTGCCTATCCACTTCTACATTAAACAAAATAAACGCCCCCTCGAATAGACGCCTCCTTCGAATAAACGCCCTCCTCAAAAAAATCCTCAATAAATCACCCCGGGTTGTTGAGTGTAAGTTTAAACATTAAGATTTTATTTCAGTGTGTTAAGTAGGCCTATGTATACATATATTCATTTGTATCTTCTGAAAATTACATTTAAAGGTGACCTTCATAGCCTACACTACCCCTGTTTTAAGGTGGTAAACTAATTATAAGGCTATGCCACATCAGTTAAGCTTGTCCAATGACATCGTCCGGTTAACCCCTTTTAATAGGACCTATGCACCGGTGGCTTGAGACTGCGGCAATTAACCACTTTCAATTCAACTCAGCAACCCAAGTCAACTGATATATTCAACTTATTTTCTTCCGTTTACACATTAGATTTTTAATTCTATGGTTCTGAGAATTATATCGATGTAAGTTAATGATTTTATATTATTTTACACTTTAGTTAAGTGACCGTTTAGTTTAATCATATAAGTAATTCCTACAACTATTTACTATTGAAATAGGTCTTATTTAGTGCAGGCCTATGTCGTGTTGAATGCATGTCTCTAATGTTTTAGTTTTTGTTTTTCTGTGCGTTACTTAATAAATTAGTAATACATTTTTAGGTTGTTTCAATATATTATATTTCATTAATTAATTGAGTTTAGTTTAATCATGTAAGTAATTCCTAGTTTAATTATGTAAGTAATTCCTACAACTATTGTATTTACTATTGAAATAGGTCTTATGATTTAGTGTAGGCCTATGCCGTGCATGCCTCTAATGTTTTAGTTTTTGTTTCTGTGCTTACTTAATCATTAGTAATACATTTTTAGGTTGTCAATATATTATATTTCATTAATTAATTGAGTATGAAAATCTAGTATTTAATTAACATTAATTAGTCAAAATTATATTATGAGGTTATTACAATACCCAACTAGAATACCGCACTTTCGGCGGTAAAGAACAATTAAAACTTCCACTCATAAAAAAAGACACCAGTGTTAAACACTCAGTACTTATCCTTGATAATGTGTTAATCCATTAATATAGTGAGATAACGTAACGTTAGTTTAAGCTTAATGAGGGCTGGTCGGCCTAATGTGTACGCGTTTTGAATCATTCTTACCGTCAGAACCACACATGCATGGGCCTGTAACTGGAGGTTATAATGAATACTGTAACCTATATAATTTTGAATACCTTCCTGTACCATAAACCGAAAGGTCCACTGATTAATCTCAGATAAGAAAGTATAATACATACTCCAAGTATTGGAGTATATACACGCCATCGTGTTGGGATTCAATATTTCGACATTAATTATGTCATCATCAGGAATCTTTTATATATATATGTCATCATCAGGAATCCTGTACCATGGTGAAACCTTTCTTAAAAAGACGTGGTGCTCACATTTATGGCATTCGGTCACGCATTCGGTTCTTGGTTTTCATTCACATTATTAAATTTGTTTTTTGATTGTTTTGCGGATAGGGGGAGTAGGCCTTGTTTGATTGGATTGAAATACTTTTTATTGTGTTAGTTAAGTTTCTTTGTATTGTTTAGAATTGTGTATTTTGATGACAGTGTCAATTTGGATGCACTACATTGTGTGTGTCATCGATTCAAAGAAATTGTTTGATTGATTGATTGACACACGCATACAATGTACAGTACTACCGTATGGAATACTGTATCTAGTACTGTATTGGAAAGTGGACGCCCTCTGGCGGATATAAACCAGAAACTCCGTTTGTTTGTATGTACAAGCACCAATACGTTGTTGTTGTACCCATGTTGTACTTGACCGTCAACCGTAGATTTGTTATGGTTCGTCCACATATCTCCAGTACTGTATGTGTACGTCTATTGCTGATCTGAGGTAAATAAGTAAGACCCATACTTTTGTTTATTGGCCTATCTATAATGAATTGCTCTTGCGCATAACATTGTCATTTAGGCCTAGGCCCTAGCCTAGGTAGGTAGGCCTGCCTAGGCCTAGCCTAGGTAGCTAGTAGCTAGCCTGGCCTCCGTGGTCCAGACTGCCCAGCTAGGCTAGCTAGCATATAGGAAGATTCTGGGCATAGGCCTACTATAAGCCCTAGGCCTATCTCAGTCATCCAGACTGTTCTCTTTAATCATGCGTATGTAATTACGTAATACTGTAGATGATGTTTTGCCGGCGAACTGGACTGACATCTAGTCATTATCTACATTATCATACGTCCAGACTATTTCAGACTTTAAAAACTACCTGGGCGTATGATAAAGAGTAACTCAATGATAAAGAGTAACTCAAAAGATGCTTGAACGGATGACAATTGAGCAGCTTATCTTCCCAGGTAGCTCTTGTTTCACATACAACGCTAAGCCCTAGCCTACATCTCTGCTGTAGGTATACTTGGTAGGATATCTGGTGGTTTGTTTGTGTGTACTCCTGTACTATAAATTTTTTTAATGCACAGAGGATATCTAAAAAATCAGCTCAAATTTGCGCATAAAATTGCTAGGAAAACAGGTGTGTTGAATCCAGTGAGCTTCTAAAAACCTCCAAGCACTGCTTTTACACCACTTTATTCTCAGTTTTAATGTTAATTTTTACATATCGGTGTTGGGCCATAAAAAACAAGGTTTTTCTAGCTGCATACATAGGGTTTTTAATTCATTTTCGCGAGCCTAAAAAAATCGCTGTTGGGCCGCGCTTTGCCACCTGTTGTCTAGAATTATACTTGTTTCTTGTATGTTTTGCCTGGCCTATGCTTCCTTTCTTGGCGAATTGACATAAATACATGTTGTTTGCCTTTCCCACAGTCTTTTTATTACATTTAAGTTAATGCGTATATCTATTATATTACAGTAATCAGTATTAGGATACTTGTAAGTTGTTCATTAAAATGAATTGACTGTAAAACATCAATGTAAAATGTGTTACATACATCACAGCTGAAACGGTCCTACACCGTGGCAATCACTTCACAGGATAAACATACACATAATGGTCTACTCATAAACTAATTCTCAGAATGAGACTTATGGAGTGGAGTTGTTTTGTCTGGAGAAAAATTCCTGGAATTTGAATTTTGGACCCATAGATACTTGAAAGATCTCTTTATTTAGTTAGGACTTTACAGTGTAATTTTCAATATTATTGTTTAAATTTATGTTTCACAGGTCTTGGCCACAAAATCATGGAACAACATCATTCTGAGGCCTGTATTTGGTGCTCTGCACCAGAGAATGCACGGATGAATTTCATAGCTTACATTTCTACACCAGCCCCTGATTGGGAAAATACGGCAAATGAGAACTTATCACATTGTATGGAATGTGTAAAGATATATCATCGTGGAAGGGCTGCTGTTGTGGCAGAAAAACCTGACATGGAGCAGGTAGTTCTTTTGGAGTTGATTATAAACGCAATGTAGTGTTCTCAGATTGTATATTTGGACATAAACAAAATGTTTGAAGACTGGTGTAACTATAGCCGCTGTCTTTTATTATTTCATAAACATAATACACCAGTCTAAATGAATTCTTAATTCTAATTGGATGTTGTCGTCCTAATCCAATCAATCAACAGATGGTGACATCCTCAACTGCTCACAGACAGCATAGATAGATTAAAAGGTCAATGCAATGTATGCCTGGCTTAAGCATTGACTTAAATTAAATACCTGTATAAAAAATATATAATTATTACCTTTCATCCCCAACCAAAAGTTGTTTTTTTTCTGTGGTAGGTTTATTTTTTGGAAGTGCCCAGGCTGCGACTTTCTTTGGATAAATGTGTGGCAGAAATAGCTAAGGAACACGATGATATTTTAGATTTTGTTAACGAAGAAGATGCGTTGTACAGCTACTGGAGAAACTTTGGACAAGATGCCTGCTCGCTACCAGTACCAGTGCAGGAAATACTTTGGTTTCCATTTTTTCTTCAGGATGAAGAAGTCAGTAAGTTTTCCCCACTTATTTCGTGAGTTTTTTAAATAGCAATCCTGCAGATTCATACTTAAGCATTGGTGGATAATCCTGAGACCCCTTGTCCAACTCCATTGATGCTCTTCCTTGTTTTTCAGCATGTTTAAAAGTGTTGTGATGCAATTCACTGGAAAAAACACATTGGTCCAGTGTACAGTTTTGCTCATGAAATGTTAACAAACTGCAAACTAACTAAATCCTTTCTGAGCCACTGGGGCTCATAGGGCTGGGGCTCATAGGGCTGGAGCTTATCCCCAGTTTCTGTAGTGTGAAGCGGATGAGAGTTGTACTCCCCCTGGACGGGGGTCCATCGCAGGTTATACCCCAGCAGTTTGCTGGTACCCATTGATAAAGCTGGGTGGACTGAAGCAATGTAGCTAAAGTGCCTTGCCCAAGGACACAAGCGAATCTGCACAACGGAGACGCGAAACCTTGATTTTACGATTGAAAGCCCAAACCTCAACTGCTGCGCCAAACTGCCGCTTCTGTAAACTAAACAGAATATAAGATATCAGATTATACTCACAGTCCCTCACCACTACACTGTGAGTGTGATCTATGGAAAACCAGTGAAATTTAACTAAATTAAAAGCAAATAATAAATTAGATTCTTCATTAGAGTGTCTAGGAAAGCTTCTGTACATAAATGGAGTCATGTACCACATTTTTAGCTGATCAAGGAGGGGGATTTAATTTAAAGTATTCAACCAAAAGCAAGTATGTTATCAATTAGAGAGAACTTGGAACTATGCTTTATCAACTAAGTAATCTAAGCGTTAATCTGTGCACATCGCCTAACTCAAGTCTATGAAAACAAAAATATGCATTGATGATGGATTATTTTCAATGATATTCTCCTATCGAAAATCAGAAAACAGCAACGCGTCAATGCCACCGGTCGCACACTTTTCCAACCCTGATGGTGCGAGTGTGCGAAAGATCGATGATGCAATCTTCTGAGACATTAATTTAAAAATCAATAGACTGATGCAGTGTGGGCCAGTTTAAATCAAAATTGTTCCTCTACTTTACCATATTATTTACTATTTTTTGAGATTCATCTTAAGATTCTCCTCTGTTTTGCCTTCGTTTACAGATGAAGTGTTTTGCTGTGTTATGAAGTACCTTTATAGAGCTAAGCAACTTTATGTGAATGCAGTTGATAAACCGCTTTGTGGACTCTTCATGTTGTTAATTCATCCAAATAATTTGGTAAGCATAATAATGATAAAGGATATTTTCATAAATGTATATATATATATATGTTTTGTATCATAGTATTTCATTATAAATGTATTCTATTCTGTAATTGGTGGAACTCCCACTATTGTATGCCAAGTGAAATAAATAAAAGCAAGAAACTACAGTATATTCATTAAAACATGAATGCATGCAAATCATTCCTGGTAACTATGAGCTAAATTTTGAAAATTTGACTGTTGAATTTTGACATTTTATGTAACAATTCTCTGCCTACCCAACACCCTTGGTGGTCGTGGTGGTAAATTATAGGTATTTGTCACTTAAAACAGTGTGGATGGAGCCTTAGGTTAACGATGTATTAGTGTAGTCCTATTTCTAAAATTTTACAAACTGAAAATGTAATCATTGTGAAGTCTCCATCCCAGTGGCTGGTTTAAGTAAAAAACATTACTTTAAAAATACCATTATCTACTGTACTACAGACATATACCATCACATCCATGATAATGACCCATTGATTTTTATTATCCTTTTATGTTATAAGATATCGAATTGGGCTAGAAAATCAGTAGCATGCCTTAGCAATTATGTGATTGAGAGGTGTGAGGAATTTACGCGAGTTATCAGCTTAATGTTGTCCGTCAAGTACTTAGACTTATTTGAAAATCGCGAACTTAGCAGTATCTGTGAGGAGATTCCAGGTTCTCGTCCCATTTTATCGTCACATTTGTTTCCGTATCAGGAGTTGGATTACTGGCAAGGTATGTAACTGACTGACATATACATGTATCTTCAAAACAACAGTATGAAAAAATGCCAGAAGTGTGTAATTTATGTTCATGCATTTTAATGTCTAAGAAAAGCTATTACAGTTTTTTCCTTTTTGGTCTTTTTTCATTTTACTCTGTCAGTTAAAAAAACGCCTGAATTATGCTACCCACATTTATGCTTTTAATTCAAATTACAATTTTTTAATATATACAATAGAAACAATATAAATAACAAAGATTGTTTTTCAAAATGTACTGTATTTGAAAATTTCAGGCTTAAGTTGCTTTTTGCATTGGATTAGTGAGGAGAATTTGAACCACCTTAGGAGTGAATTACACTCAAAAATCATCTGTGTTTACTCAACAACACTTACAGAGAATAATTTTAGTAAGTATCGCTACTTCAAGAAAAATTCCTCCATCACTCATTGGCTTTAAATCAAAGACATCTTGAAAGATAAAACCTAAAATTATCAATTGATCACCCCTTCAAAATATGGCATTCATTAATATATATATTTTTTTGTAGAAACTGTTGATGAGTGCAACTCATTTTGGGACAAACTTGTGGGCTTCCAGCAACTCATCACCAAATTGGGATTTCGTATTTGGCAGTATCTAAAGGAGGCACCAGATGGGGTTTTCAACAGTATCTTTAACCATCCATGCGTTAGAAGTGCAGTCAGTAAAATGTGAGATATTTCTTTTATTTTTCTAATTTGTTAATAAGAAATAGTTATGAAGGTGATAATAACAATGATCTCAACGACCTTTGGCTTCATGGGACTGGGGTGGGGCCATTGTGATAGAGCACCAAGGTCATGGTAGGGGTTCAGAGTGTCCGACGGAGACATTTCCGGGTTTTAAAAGTACTTAACTTATTCAGTTTCAGAGACATATTTTGCATCAACAAATAAAAAGATTTATTATTAATTGCATACAGAGGAAGTTAATTTCTAGGTTTTAAAGGAAAAAAAATTCTTATTAAAAATCTAAAAAAAAAAAATATTAAATGAAAGAGCCATAGTCCCCTCATTACGTTAAGTTCTCTGTTCTTTGGTCTTTTACCAAGATAGGCCTAATAAGTTTCTAAAAAGCATTAATGTTATTGATTATTTTAAGTCCTGTATGGGATCGGTTCAGCCCCTTCTTGTCCTTATGTCCCTCAGAGACTCTTTGGTCACCTCCTTAGTAGGGGGCTATTTGGACAGCTGCATAAGAGAACATTTGTGTTACGTGCCTGATGATATTTATTTATTATGCAGTTCTCTGTGCTTTGGTCTTTTACCACTTAGATAGGCCTAATAAGTTTTTAAAAACTATCAATGTTAAGGCCTAAAAAAATTAATTGTTTGTTTGCCCTTCGATGCTGAAAATTGTATAGGAGGGGCGTGTGCAAAAGTCTTTTTTTTTTCCTTTCACCAGAATTAACATATCAAAATCGCAATGCTTGCAATTAAGCCTGTCTCACTATTTGTTTTTCAACGATATTCATCAGACTGAATTAAAATAACCCATAATCGATATTTTGCAATGAATTTAGGCCTAGAATGGCGATACCTTATGTCAGACACCAAATTTTGACAACTTTGACGTGCAAAATGGAGACAACTAAATATCGCTTTTTAAAATTTGTGAACAAAAAAAAAAACCTTTTTTAAAAATGCTGTCCCTATTTTTCTGTGAGCTATGGGCGGGCGCTAGAGGGCAAACAAACTATTTTTTTTAGGCCCATTTGATTATTTCAAGTCCTTGGGGATGAGTTGAGCTCTTCTTGGTCTTATGTGTCTGTTGGAGACTCATTGGTCCCCTTTTAGTCAGGGCTCTTTGGGCAGCTGCACAAGAGCACATTTGTGTTACATGTCTGACGACAGTGATTTATTATGCACATACTTATGGGTGCTCATGATTTTTTTTAAAAGCAGCAATAAAACATTTTAAAGAATATTTATTTTAGATGATTAATGTAAACTATTTGACTGCCTAGGTGCCTGGTAACTTGGGCCATTTAATTAGCTTTCTCCCCATATACCATGTATCTTTGATTTGTCTTAAAAGGATTTGTTTTAATAATTATGATGAATCTATTAAAGTATATTTAATTTTCAGGAAAGATACAAATTTGGAGCGCCAACTGGGGAACAGATTGCCTGAGACATCTCCGTATGCCTGGATAAGACCATTTGTCTTTTCGTTGTTGAAATATGACTCCATAGCTAAGTATTGTGTTACCATGGTGCTAGACATACTGACAAATGAAATGAATATAGAATTGACCAATCAGACAAAGATTAACTCTAATCAACCAATAGCAAATCGAGAACCTAGTCTCTACATGCAGCATTCAATTTCAATTTTGGTTGAGATTCTGGAAAATCTAATTACATGTAACTTTTTATGTGTGTCAGTAACTTGCTTTGAAAAATGTTTTAAAATTATGATGCTCTTTTTGATGAAGTTTCAGCAAAATCAGGGATCTTCTCAACAATCTGAAAGATGCCACACATCTCTAGTAAGATTTATCAGAAAACTTCTGAATATTTGTGTCAAAAAGGAGATATCATTGACTGAATCTCATCTCTTAATTCAAAATATTGATTCAGATACAGATTTTAGAGATGTTGACTACAATCTTTTAAACATGTGCATACAAAATCTTGTGCAACATCTACACTCAATTAGAATTGAAGAAACTGTAGGCTGCTACAATGATGAGGGTGCAAGTACGTCAACAACATCAGAAGAATATAATAAAGATAAATGTACTGTACAAGACACTTCACTAGGTACTGACCAAGGGGAAAGTACGTCTACAGCTTCAATAGAACAGGATAAGGGTTGTACCTTTAAGCCATTTGCTTCTATCAAGGAAGAAATCCATGACAGTGACTCTGTTGAGCCAAGTCAAGATTTTATGCAGGAGGATTCATCATTAATAGGCAATTTTGTTAAGGTTGAAAACATGATCAGTTTTGATTCAGATGATAATCTACCAGTGGTTCCTAGATTTATTAAGAAAGACATTATTCCATGTAAGTGTTCAGTATTAGTATAATGTTGAAATGGTTCTGTTAAATTCAAGTACTGTATTTAAATTGATGGAATAACCTTATTCTTGTGGATAGAAGGAAATGTCAGCACATTCTTTGATATGACTATTATGTATTTTCCTGTTATATTGTAATGTTATTTTAATAATGTGTAATTTATTTAATTATTTCAATATTTATAGTAAAATATATACATCTTAATGCTCTTAAACGATAACCAAATGATTCTCCAAGGCACAAAATTTCTAAATGATGCAAGAAACAGATTAAACATGATGAAGAAAAACACATCCAAAAACTAGAAGGATGTTTGCTGCTGTTGGGTATTAATACTTTATATTGTTTTTATATACTTACTGAAATAATTATAATTTGTATGCATTGTTTAATTACTTGTATACATGTTATTCCAATACAGATAATAACAGTTCAACAGCAAATCCTTACTCAATTAAAAATTGCATGTTAATCTTTAAGGTGATTATGTGTCTTATGACGAACTGTTGCTACGTCATGGCCTTACCAGAAAGGTGTCAGTCCAAGTGAAAAAATTAACATCAGATGGTAAGTTACACCCTGTCCTTTACATGAAGCTTTTGAATGAAGAGGCTCAATTGAAATGCACGAAGCAGCAGCAGCTTTTCATTTGTTGCCTGACAAAATCACCCTCCATCCAAAATAATGAAATAAAAGAGTTACTGAATGAAAACTATGGTTTAAACCTTCATTGCTAGGTTTGGGAAGTGGTTTTTATTTATTACTATTATATGAATGAAAGCATTGATTAAAATTGATTTGTTTTTCTTTAATAGATACTGAGCAGATAAGACAAGACCTATATAATATACAAGGTACTGCATCAAATGCTGCACCAGGTCTTGTACAAGAAACTGCACCAGATTCTGTACAATTTTCTTCACAAGATACTTTACCATATATTGTAGAAGAAATTGAACCAGGTTCGGTACAATGTTCTTCACAATATACTCTACAAAATGCTGTACCAAATAATTTACCAGGTGCACCAGCTATTTCATGTGGTTCTTCAACAGATACTGAGCAGATAAGACAAGACCTATATAATATACAAGGAAATGCATCGAATGCTGCACCAGGTCTTGTACAAGAAACTGCACCAGATTCTGTACATATACACATCTAGATGTGTATAAGAGACAGGCACTAAACTAACCTTTATATATCTATACATCATGCTATGCTGTTATTTTCCTCATTTTTAATGTTAAAACAACAATTTTTAACGATTTGGTGATGGTTTCTGCCTAAGAAATGCCTGCAAATAATTTACCAGGTGCACCAGCTATTTCATGTGGTTCTTCAACAGATACTGTAGAAGAAGAACCACATACTGCACTGGATAAAATACGAGATGCAGGACCAGATACTGTGAAAGACACTGCACTGAGTTCTGTACAGTCATCTTCACAAGATACTATAGAAGACAATACACCAGATCCTGCAAAATGGTCTCCACAAGATACTCCACACATTGCAGAATCACCTAATATTGTACAAGACATTGTGCCATGTACTGTAGGAGATATAGTACCACTTTCTGTATCAGATAATGTATTACATAAAGTGGATAGTACAGTGGATAATTATTCAGATACTTCATCAGTTGATGTACCAGATATCACCAAAGACACTGCCCAAGATGTGTTATTGCCTCAGTGTAGTCCATATAAGTATACACACTACAGACTCCAAGAAATTAAACAAACTAACTCAGAGAAACTGATTCAAGCACAAAAAAGAATTAAATTACAAAAAGAAAAGTTAGCTAAAATATGTAGACAAGATACTTTCCCTGTCTCATCTGATTCAGAGGGTCCAGAAGCCATGTTATGTGCTGATATTGCGCCAGATGCTTTGCAAGATAGAGTACCATGTACTTTACAAGATACTTCATTAAATATTGTAGTGGATGTTGCTTCAGGTACTTCATCAGATAATGTATCAGGAACTGCCCAAGACAGTGCCTCAGATGTTCCATTTCATCCTGAAATACACTATAACTTTTCATTAGAGAGACTCCGGGGTTTAATAAAGATAAGTAGAGAGAAAACAATTAATCAAAATCAGAGAATTAAAGTACTACATGAACCGAAAGCTAAGAAAAGAACACAAGACGGAAGATTGATAAATGATCAAACAGCAGATAATTTACCATATAATGTGAAGCGGGCGCTACCTTATACTGCTCCATTTAGTGCAGAAAAAAATGCACCAGATCTTTTACAAACCACTACACTAGATAATTTTCCGGGTACTTCATCAACTCCTGATGTACCAAGAACTGTCAAAGAAAGTACCCCACATATTGCATCTCATAAGCCTCCCATTAAATATTCACTAGACAAACTCAGGGATTCATTAGAAGGTGCAAAAAAAAAAAAGAATCTTCAACAGTATATTATAGAACGGCAAGCCAAGAGAGCTAATAAAAGGCCAAACAAAATGTTGACAAAAGGTCAGACAGCAGTTACACCAGATACTGCAAAAGACACCCCATCAACATCATTTGGAGTGACTGATGTACAGTCTCCAGAAACCAGAATAGCATCTCAACATGAGAGATTTTCTTCCAGTGCTGTCAAACAGGTGCCATCAGAGGTGTTAACCTCTTGTACACTGACAACAACTGTCACTCGGGCAGCAAAGTTGTCGTCGCCTACTGCTGTCCAGTGTAGTCCGGAAGGAGTAAACCAGATTCCTAGTTGTGTCAACATTGATCTACTAGTTGCCATTGTCTTGTCCTGGAAAACTGAATGGCTTGAGAAGCAAGGTAATTATAATACCTGTACTCCATAATATTATGCTGGGATCATTGTGAGAGCATTTAGTGCAATTTGCTCTGACCATAAAAGTTAGGCAAGGTCTACTTTATTCAGACTCTAAAATATGACCCAAATAATACAATAACATGTATTCTGGGCATCTGAGTATATCAAATTGCCACCAAACAAAGTAGAATGATGATGTCCCAAATTGACTTTTAATCATTCTTGATTTATATACAACAGAAAAGTAAAATTCAAATTACAAATATATGGTATGTTTATTTTATCTCAGCTTTATCTGCAATTGTACTTGATAAAATCATGAATATTAATGGCGTTTTTTCTTCTTTATCCCATTAAGTATATCCTGAACAAGTTGGTGATAAACAGAAAATGAGCATGATGAAAGTTCCTTTATCTTTTGACTCCATCAATTCATACATCAACATCTTTGTTCCGTTGCTTCTTCGTGAGACGTGGCACTACGTAGGTTATTCGTAAATCAGTCTTTTACATCTATAATTATTAAGATCACAGGGAAAAATACTATTAAAAGAATTGTGTTGAAGCTAAGCAGAACTCTTAGCCGTAGAACAATCAATAAATATTTATTCAGTTTTCATTTTAGTCTATTTAATTATTTTTCATTAGAAATACATTCGAATAATGAGGTATAAAAAAAGATGGAATTAATCAGAACTCATAATAAGTATATTTTATATTTTTTTAAATACTTTCAGGTTCTTCAGGAATATTGGAAGATTAAAAGGATCAAGAGTGACTTTGTGGATATGATGTATCAACGCCATTATAAAATCAGTGGAGTCAAGGCTGGATGTTTCTTGATATGCAAACGTAAGTTTTTTAGTGTTTTTAAAACATGCATTTGGGTGATAACCTTGGCTTCCTATTTTAAGCAGCCAGCTGTGGATAATGGTAATACAGTATAGAGCTGTCTTTGATGTTTTTTTATGTTGGTAATAGTCATGTTATTAATATTGGTGGGATTAAACATACATTATTACATTTTTTTGTTAAAGTGTAAAAATAATTTTTGTAAAAAAGCTTTGGTTTGCATTAAAACTGTTTAGTTTTTGTGTCGTATCCTGAACATATCCTGAACGATGTAAATTATTATAATTTACAATTACAATTATAATATTTAAAAATGAATAATAAATAGAAAGAATAATATGATAATAAGTAATTAGTAGAGTTGCGTATCATACACCAGTGGAAATTTATACCAAGGTTAGATTAATGTTGAAAAATATTCCTAAGTGCCTGCAAGTTTCGAAAGAATTTTATTGAATGCAATAATCTAACCTAACTTAACTAAACTAAATCCTTTCCAACCACTGGGGCTCATACGGCTGGAGCTTATCCCCAGTTTCTGTAGTGTGAAGCGGATGAGAGTTGTACTCATCCTGGACGGGACACTAGTCCATCACAGGTTAGTCCCCAGCAGTTTGCTGGTACCCATTGATACAGCTGGCCCCCCGGCCCCCCCTTTTGGGAGGTAAAAAAAGAAAAAAGAAAGAAAAAGAAAAAATGATAGCCCAGAACGCCTCAAATGTTATTTTCGAGCGTCTAGAACACAAAAATTTCGGACCCCCTAGGACATTTTTGTCTCGATCGGCCCAAATTTCGGTCGGCCCCCCCCCCCTTTTGGACATCTTTGGATCCGCCCCTGCAGTCATCGGTTGCTATAGTGGTATGATCTGTGTGCATACAATATTACTGTAGATTTTAGCTGTGCATATGCACAGGTTTCATAACATTCCTATTAAACATTCTTTTTCTTTATTTATGTATTTTTTTTTTGGCTACTTAAAAATATTATCACTTTTATGTATAGATGTTAATTATACATTCCTTCGTAATACTTTACAAAATATGTATTTTGAAATTTAGAAAGAGCGACCAGTAGGAAACAGTCCACTTAAACCCGGCCAGACACGTAACAATATGGACACTCGTCCCAGAATTTTGGTATGTGCTCCGTCCGATACAGCTGTGGATTTGTTGGTGCTGAACGTAGCCAAGATATGTTTGGCAGAGAAGAACCATGATGGTATGTTCAGTTTATATTTTAAAAAGCACTAAATATTAATGATATGTTGTTATTTGTTGGTCTGTTGCAATCCAAAGACAGTGCCAAAGTTATTACTGAATACTCATTGCTCAAACTTGTCACTGGATTCATATACACCATTTTGGCTAGATTTGAATCTAGCTAGGCCTGGGGGACATCCAGAGACCTAGGCATTTTGCTCTACGCTAGTTACAAGTATAGACAATAGACAACAGAACGGACCCCTGTCAGGGTATGAGAAAACATTCAACTGCTTAGTAACAGAAGTATTCATAGTTAATAAGGTGTGAACACCACAAAGTAACCACAATAAAATGTGCAAAACTAAAATTGATAAAGTTAAAATGAAAAGCTTAACATATATTAATTTATTTCTTTTTTATGTCTGAATTTATTTTAAAAATCTTACATTTTTTTTGTAGATGATTCAAGATTCAACTGTGGTTTATACAATATTGTACGTTTAGGTAATAATATGCATAAAAAGTGTTTGCAGTACCAGCTCAAAACCAAAGTAGACAAACAAATGCAACAAGGTAAGGTTTACGTTATTAAGATAACTGAGACGGGGTTCACACAATATATAGATGTTGTGAGCAAGTACAATAAGACCATGAGATTGTCTGAATGCCCAAATATAGGTAACTCCGATTCTACCTATTTGGCTTGATAATAGATGGAATGTGTATGTACCAAGTTGTATATTGTCTATACTACAATGAATCAAACCAATCAATTCTGAATGTAATTGCTTAAGCGAGGATATTTGCATATCACCCAACATAAGGTCATTTAAAGCTGCCTCGGATTCCATCAACATATATAAATTAACGACCAAATGTTTATTGCTACACACTGCCCAGAACAACGTACGCAACCCCCGGTATATTGGTGTTTTTGTTCATCAAAGTACAGGTACAGAATCAGATCATTAAATTTCTCGTTTAAAATCATAAAACTACAATAATGAGACACAGGTAAAACATTCCAGTTAGTGCTAATATACAGACATTTAATTTTTAAAAAAAACATTCTTTTACCTCATCAATGATAATATTTCTTAAAATAGCATTTCATGTGTGTGTAAATTTGTGAAAAACATAAATCTAAAATTTTAATATAAATATTTGTATTTAAAATCTAGCAGGTAAGAATGGAGAAAATGTTGATGCTGAAAAAATGAGAAAAGAAATTTCCAATTGCCAAAAGGCACTTCAAAGAGCAGAATTACACTGTGGAAATTTAAAGATCAACCATAAAGCAAGTCAGATTGAGGTTGGTAAATAATCTAGTGTAGTACATGATGTATTGTTTTAATAACACAGTGAGAAATTTGCCCGTTTTAAATTCGGGTAAGGCTTGTCTACTGTTACATTTCAAAGCAGTTATTGTACAGGTCTGCCTCTTACACCTATTTGCAGGCAAGCAGGCTTTTCTGTAGACCATAGAATGTATGAGACTACTCTTATTTTTTTTACTTTGTTTATTTTATAGCTTAAACAAGCAGAGGAAGAGAGAGAACATCTACATAAACAATTAAAAGACTTAAAGAAGAAAGAAGATGAGATACATGTCTCAGTTAGTAGTAAAAGTAGGCAAGAATCGGTACTTCAGCATGCTGACGTCGTTTTTTGTACGTTGAACGCCAGTGGCTTTAACCATCTGGATTTGCTTTACACAAATAAACAGCCAAATTTCAAATACGTGATTGTTGACGAGGTGAGAAGATGTTCGCTGCCATCTTTTGAATGATTGTATTTGATATTTGTTACGCAATTGTATTTATTAACACTGTATATTCAGGTTGCTATAATTATTTTCAAAAATAAATAAATTATATTCTATAATTTTATACAAATTCTAGAAACTATCAAGCATTAAATTAATTAATTGCTTTTATGAAAAACGATTACATTATCAACACGGACACAAAGATCAAACCTAAAACCATTTATTTGTGATGACTTACATTCAGTGGTGGCGTATCT